ATAGTGAATAATTTTTTTGATGTATTTCTGGATCCGATTTGCTAATATTTTGTTCAGAATTTTGGCGTCTATGTTCATCAGGGATATTGGCCTGTAGTTTTTTCCTTCATAGTGTCTTTTTCTGGTTTTGGAATTAGAATAATGCGGGCTTCATAGACTTGTTTGAAAGTCTTCCTTCTTCTTGAATTTTTTGAAATAGTTTGAGGAGAATGGGTGTTAGTTCTTTTTTGAATGTTCGGTAAAACTCCCCCGTGAAGCCATCTGGGCCTGGGCTTTTGTTTGCTGGGAGAGTCTTGATTACCTCTTCAATTTCCTTAGTCGTATTGGTCTGTCAAGTTTTCTATCTCTTCCCGGTCCAGTTTTGGGAGACTGTGTGTTTCTAGAAATTTGTCCATTTCGCTTAGATTGTCGAATTTGTTGCCATATAGTTGTTCATAGTAGTTGTTAAGAATCTTTTGTATTTCCGTGGTGTTGGTTGTTACTTCTCCTCTTTCATTTCTGATTTTGTGTATTTGGATTCTCTCTCTTTGTTTCTTGGTGAGTCTAGCTAAGGGTCCATCAATCTTGTTTATCTTTTCGAAAACCAGCTCTTTGTTTTATTGATCCTTTGAATTGTTTTTTTGGTCTCTATGTCATTTATTTCTGCTCTGATCTTTACTATTTCCTTCCTTCTACTTGCTCTGGGGTTTTCTTTTTGTTTGCTTTCTAATTCTTTAAGTTGTGAGGTTAGACAGTCAATTAGAAATTTTTCTTGTTTTTTGAGGTAGGCCTGTAGTGCTATGAACTTCCCTCTCAGAACTGCTTTCGCTGCATCCCATAGATTTTGTGTTGTTGTGTGTTCCTTTTCATTGGTTTCCAGGAAGTTTTTAATTTCTTTCTTGATCTCCTCGGTGACCCATTCATTGTTCAATAACATGCTATTTAGCCTCCATGTGTTGAAATGTCTTTGCATGTTCTTGTTGCAATTGATTTCTAGTTTCATGCCATTGTGATCTGAGAAGATGCTTGATATGATTTCAATCTTCTTGAACTTGTAGAGATTTAGTTTGTGTCCTATCATATGGTCTATCTTTGAGAATGTTCCTTGTGCACTTGAGAAGAATGTGTATTCTGTAGTTTTGGGGTGTAATTCTCTGTAGATATCTATTAAATCCATTTGGTCTACTGCTTCATTTAGAGTCTCTGTTTCTTTGCTAATTTTTTGCCTAGGGGATCTATCCAGTGCTGTCAACAGGGTGTTGAAGTCCCCTGCTATGGTTGTATTGTTGTCGATTTCTCCTTGGAAGACCTCCAGAAGATTTTTAATATATTTTGGTGCTCCTATATTGGGTGCATATATGTTTATCAAGGTTATATCTTCCTGTTGGATAGATCCTTTCAATATTATGTAGTGGCCGTCTTTGTCTCTAGTTATGGTCTTCATGTTGAAATCTATTTTATCAGATATGAGAATTGCTACCCCAGCTTTTTTTTGCTTTCCATTTGCTTGGAAAATTTTTTTCCATCCCTTCACTTTCAAACTATGTGAGTCTTTTGTTGTGAGGTGGGTCTCTTGCAAACAACATATAGATGAGTCATGCTTTCTTATCCAGTCAGCTACTCTGTGTCTCTTTATGGGAGCATTCAATCCATTAACGTTTAAGGTGATTATTGATATGTACTTTTTTATTGCCATTTTTGTTTAGTGTGGTTCTATTTTTCTTCCCATTTCTACTGCTAATTACAGCAGTCCTTTTAACATTTCTTGCAGTGCTGGTTTGGTGCTAATGTATTCCCTTAGCCTTTTTTTTTTTTTTTTTTTTGTCTGGGAAGCTCTTTATTTGACCTTCTATTTTGAATGATAGCCTTGCTGGGTAGAGTAGTCTTGGATTCAGATTCTTGTTTTTCATGACTTTGACTACTTCATGCCATTCCCTTCTGGCCTGTAGTGTTTCGTGTGAGAAGTCAGTTGAGAGCCTTATGGGGTTCCCTTTGTAGGTAACCTGTTGCTTATCTCTTGCTGCTTTTAGGATTCTCTCTTTGTCTTTAATTTGTGGCATTTTAATTACTATGTGTCTTGGTGTGGGCCTGTTTGGGTTCTTCTTACTTGGAACTCTCTGTGCTTCTTGAACTTGAATGCCTTCTTCCTTCACCAAATTAGGGAAGTTTTCTCTCACTATTTTTTTGAATATATTCTCTATCCCTTGCTCATTTTCTTTCTTCGGGGACTCCTATGATGCGAATATTATTACGTTTCCAGTTGTCCCACCGTTCTCTTAAGCTGTCTTCCTGTTTTTTAATCGTTTTTTCCTTTTGGTTTTCTGATTGGTTGATTTTTTCTTCTCTGTCTTCTAATTCACTGATCCGATCCTCAGCTTCCTCTACTCTGCTTTTTAAACCTTCCAATGTGTTTTTCATTTCTGATATGTCATTTTTTATCTCTTCTTGATGGTTTTTAATTTCCAGTTGGCTTATTTTCAGTGTCTCTATGTCCTTACTCATGCTGTTAAGCTTCCTCAAGATCATGGCTCTGAATTCTAGCTCTGTTAACATGCCTAATTGCTCCACATTGATCTCATCTTCGGTGGAGGTCTCTTGCTCTTTTATTTAGCTTCTGTTTCTGAGTTTCACCATTTTGGCTATCACTGTGGGCTTTGGAGCCTGTCAAGTTCTCCCTGTGGGTGTTGGTGTTCTGCTGTTTGTGGCTCCCTCTCCTGGGTTTAGATGAGCGAGGGAGGACCCACGTTAAACACCACTGTCAAGTCTTACTTTCCTGGTTAAAGTTGCCAGCCCAGGAAAGGTACTGTTATCCTCTAGCTTTTTGCCTGGAGGCTAGCAGTCGAGGTTACTTGAGGAGTTTTGGGTTGTCAGTTGATTGAAAAACTCCCTCAGGTGCTGAGCACAGGGGGATTTCACGAGGGTGGGGCAGATGCTGGTTGTTAGTGAGCCTCAATTAGCACTTCAGTGGCCCACAGGGTGGGGTTGGATCTCCGAGGGAGGGGCTGCTGCCTCTCCCCAGAGCCCTGGGAAGGAGCAATGTGGCCACCGTCCTGAGTGGCTGCACTCAGCCAAAGCTCTGAGCGCCCTCCAAACCCTGAGTGTCCCGACACAGTTCCAGTCCAGCCTGCCCTCCCTCTGCCGGAGCCCAAGGTGAGTGGCTGTGGCTGTTTCAGCCTCTGTCCCGGCTGCGCTGTGGGGCCGCCTGGGAGTGTGACCCGAGGGCGCTGCTCCCAGCTGAGGCCGCTGCCGAGCTGCCGACCGTGCGCTCCCAGCCCCGTCTCGCGCCTTCGCAAGCCTACCGGGATGGAGTCAGTGTCCCTCATTGTATGGTCCTCGCAAGCTGCTTTTCTGTTGTTTTTTTCCCGTCAATTTGTCTGTGTTATAGTTGTAATTCCAGTTTGGTTCTGGGAGACGGTCTGTGTAGCTTCCGTTCACTCCGCCGCCATTTTTTCTATATTTCATTTTTAAATACTATAATTTAGTATCTTGCTTTTTTGTTATATATTGTTAAATAAAATATGAAAATCATTTCAGTGTGATTTTTTTCCCCATCAAGATGAAGTGATCCTTGGAGTCCCTCCTTGGCATTTATCTGACTGTGGGCAAGTTATTAAACACCTCTGCATGTTCTTGTCCTATAAAGCAAAATGGCAACAGTAATCCCATGTGTTGTTAATATTAGATGTTAATATTAGGGATGTTGTTAATATTAGAAAGTATATGTAAATTTCCTAACAATACTCAGCACAGGAACTGCTCAATTAGTGGTAGTTAAATTAATAAATAATGAATACTATTTTAGTTGTGTTAGTCCCAGGTAAACTAGCCCAATATTTACCTTTAAAAAAAAGATTGGTGAAACAAGCCAAACAGAGAAAGACAAGTATCATATGATCTTACTTATTTGTGGAATATAATGAGTATAACAGTCTGAGGAATGGGGTAGTCCCAGAGCCGTGGAAGTGGGGTACAGACTGACAATCTTTCGAAGATGGGGTGGTGGGGGAGAGATAAACCACAGAACATATATGCATGTGTGCATGAACAGTGGACATGGACAACAAAGCTGGGGACAGGGCAGGGAGGGAAGGGGAGGGGGGAATCAGAGGGGGAAAAAGGGGAAACATCTATAAAAAAATAAATTAAAAAAAAAAAAAGATTGAACCTAAGTACTTTTGTAAACTTAGATACAGTGATACCTCGGTTCTCAAACATAATTCGTTCCAGGAGGACGGTCGAGAACCAAATTGTTCGAGAACCGAAGCAATGAAATCCAACAGGAAATAATGGAAGCTGGATTAATTCGTTCCAAGCCCCAGAAAATGCCTATTTACTGGCCTAATTTGTATATAATATGTAGAAAAACATAAGTCTCAACAAGAAATAAAAGTGTACAGTATGTCTAAGAGTTAAATTCAGTGTAAAGCGTGACTCTCTCCACAAAGCGTGACTCTCTCTCTGCACTCACACTGATGACGCGAGCAAGGCGCGCTGGGCCGAATGAACGCCATTCGGCTCAACTCGGCTCATCTCGGAAGTTCGAGTTCCAAATATTTGTTCGGATTCCAAGACAAAAGTTTCTCGAATCTCCTGGTCGAATACCGATTTGGTCGAAATCCAAGGCGTTCGAGAACCGAGGTATCACTGTAATCATGTTTTAAAACTTGCAAAGTCATGTTTTTTTTTTAATCCTCACCAGAGGACATTTTTCAACACTTTGTTGAGATAGAGTGGGAGGAAGAGAGAGAGAGAGAAATCGATGTGAAAGGGACACATCGAGTGGCTGCCACCCGCACGACCAACCAGGGCCGGGGACAAACTGCAGCCGAGGTACATGCCCTTAGCGGGAACCGAACCCGGGTCTCTCCGGACCATAGGCTGATGATCTAACCGCTGAGCCAAACCGGCCAGGGCAAAGTCATGTTTTTGTTTAGAAAAGTGTTTCTTTGCTGCATCCTGATAAAAGAAGTTGAATGCCTTGTTAGCCGGAGTATAGATGCTGGCTTCTCTCTCCTCGGCAGGTGTCGTGGTACTGCATTTTGGGCTGCAAAGCAGAAGGGAGCTATGGAAAAGTAAGATTAAACAATAATCATCTCCCAAACTCAGGAGAGGCGGTATGTCAAATTTAAAAAACCTCTAAATGTCAGAAAATCTTATCAAAAATCTTGTTTAATGACAATTTTTTTCCTTATAAAGTCAGTATCATTTCAGTGAATTTCTCTAATTTCAACTTGAGTATGACTAAAATCCAACAGTAAATGAAAGGTTTTTTTTTTCTACATATAAAGTTTACCTAATTATATACTTAAAGTTACATTAATTTTCATACATAACTTGAAATATATTTTTTGTTAATAGATACCAGCTGATGGTAAAAGCATTTTTGAAGTGAAAGGTTTAGAAACCAATGAAAAATATGTCTTTGCAATTGCTGCTTATTCTTCTAACGGGAAGCTTGTCGGTGATGCTGTGGGAGAGACAACTAAACCAATTCTGGTTTATCCACCTCTTTCTGCTGTTACTGCTCGGATGTTCCTGACACAGGTAGAACAGATTTCTGCTCATTTTTTTCTTTGTGTGTTTTTCCACTGAGCAGTTACTAAGTAATTTCCAATAGAAAAAAATTACAGCAGATATTCTAAAGCTCCTGTAATACATGCTTTCCATTATTGCCATTTAGTCTCATAAAATAGGAATCATTCTTTCTCTTATTAGTGAGTTTGCTTTTTATAATAACACTTAATCTGAATTATATATATAACACATTAATTTTAGAAATTTTGGAAAATACTAAAATTGACAAAGGAAATAAAATGAAAATTATGTGTTATCCTATCATCCAGAAAAGCAGTTTTTAACCTGGGGCAATTTTGGCCTCAGGGGACATTTGTCAGTGTCTGGAGACATTTTGGGTTGTTACAGTCTAGAGAGGTGCTATTCATATCTAGTAGATACAGACCAGGGATGCTGGTAAGCATCCTACAATGTAAAGGGCAGCACCCCTCACCCCGCTGCCACCCAGTAACAGAGAATTATCCAGTCCAAAATCCAATAGTGCCAAAATTGAGAGATTCAGAGATATCTTTTCATGTGTGTGTATGATATACATGCATATACACACATATGTATATGAATTTATGTATGTGTAATTTTAATCATAGTGTACATATTATTTTATAGTCTGATATTTTCATTTTATATATAACTGACATTTTTTCCATTCAATTAAATTATTCTTTTAAAACGTAATTTTTAACAACTGTGTGGTATTATCCATTTTATAGCTAGATCATGGTTCATTTAGTAATTCTTCACTGTTGGACAAATTTAGACACTTTCCAGTTCTTTGCTATTATAAGCAAAGCTGTGATGCACATATTTTTATGTAAATCTTTGCTTACATTCATGATCACTTTCTTAGGATAATTTATAGAAGTGACATTTCTGGGTTAATAGAGACTGACAGACCTGAATTTATTTTATTTTTAAAATAAATTTTATTGATTTTTTTAGAGACAGAGAGGAAGGAAGTGAGAGATAGAAATATCGATGTGAGAGAGATACATTGATTGGCTGCCTCTTGCATGCCCCCTGCTCGGAATTAAGCGTGTGCCTTGACCTGGAATCGAACTGGGACCTCTCAGTCCATGGGACGATGCTCAATCTACTGAGCCACACTGCCAGACCAGACCTGAGTTTAAATTCAAAAGCTCCTCACACTAACCATGTGGCTATTGGACAAATAACTTTCATCTGCGAAGTTGAAATAATCATACTAGCTACCTCCTAGAGCTATTATGAGTATTAAGGGGAATTATTTATGTCAGATGTTTAACCATAGCACTTGTCACACAGTAGCACTTAATAAATATTATTATTGTATTTAATTGTGGATATACTCATGAATTAACTTTTTTGCTGAAATGATTACCTGACTTAAAACATGTCAGCAGTGAATAGGACACTAGGAAGCGTGTGACTCATTGACCTAAGTCTCAAGCATCTAATTTTAAGCCTATTATTGACTGTAGAGCTGATGGCTATTCTAAATTTTATTACATTTCTACTGTGCTATTTTTTTCCTCTTAATAGTTGATTAGTATTATAAGCTAAGATTTTAGTGGCTTTTTATATTATCATATTTTTCAAAGAAAATTAAATTGAGAGAATTGCTGGGATTTGTCTAGAGTTGGTTTAGCATATCTTATTGGCTCATAGTTTTCCAATGTTTTGATTTCTTTGGAATCTAATATATTCCCTAATTTGCAGTGATGGAGTTATTTCAAAGTGAGGAACAGAATATTTTATCAAGCCCTAATTTTTCTCCAGGGGGTGGTTTGACTCTCGGGCTTCATTTGGCAGAACTTTCATTGAAAGTTAATAAAACTAAGTCCCAGCTATACTGCTGGGATAATGAGAAGTGCCATAAAGTAATGACCTGTGTGTCTTTATTGATACTATATTTTGCAGTACTTCAGTTCATTTATGACAGCTTATGAGCATTCTGTCTCATAATGTTAAGTGTCTAAAGCAAAATTTTCTCACTTAGTAAATCTCCTTATTTACAAAAGTTTAAAGGTTCTAGCAAGAAAATATACCTTTCTCTTGGAATTGCAATCTATTTTTATGAGAGTGGTCAGTTGTTAGTTTCAGGATAATTCTATTCTTTAAAAATATTATAAATATTCTTATAGCAAGATATGGAGATATTTCACCAAATGCCTATAATTAACGTAGCTTGTGATTGTAGGTTGCACTTTTGCTCAATATTATTCTTTAGACTTTAATAAATTCAGGTGAATATTTACTAGGTTTTCCCCATCTGAGAAAATTTTTGAGGCACATTTATGAATGATATATTTTCTGTGGATATTTTCCAGTTTCCCCTAATTTATAGCCTCATTTCTTTTTATCCTTCCCCTTTGAGTTGGGAATGGCTAGATAATGTGATACAAAATGTAGAAAATTAGACAACTATGAGCTGAATTTTGGGCAAATTTCTTGGTCTCCATTTTTCTGTCTGTAAAATGGATGTATGATAAAACGCCACATGCTACTGGATCATTGGACTATTAAGCCAAATAGTGAGTGGGCACCACGGCTGGTTGAGGAAAGGAAATGGGGAATGTCATTTATTAAAAAACTATTGTGTGACAGGCATTTAAAAATTCATCACTCCCTTTATTACAATTGCTCTATGAGGGAGTATTATCATTTTCATTTTATAATTGAGGAGACTGAGATGAACTTTCTTCCTCTGCCAGTCCCAGTTAATTCCAGAACAGGTGTCTCAGCGAGGTTAAGTAATTTACTCAAGGTTACTTGGGTAGCAGATGGGAAGCCTGACCCTTGAACCAGCTCATGCCTTTCTATTGCTCTGTCCAGGTTCCAAGAAAGTTATGTGTTTGATCTAACATGTGCTCAGTTCTAGAGCCTACATCTCTCCCGTCTTTTCTGTGCCTGGGTTTGGTGGTGTTCAGCAGGTCTTGGTGATCAGTGTTGGTAGTACAATTTGATGCTGGGACATGAATGTTTGTCAGTAATCACAATGGTGGTTACTGTAATATATGAATTCATTAAAATTATTTGATTAATAGAGGTTTGCCTTTTGCCTATGACTATCCAAATAATAAAAGAAAAAGCTACCAGATAAAAAAAGATAGTTATCCCCATTTTTAAACTCTTTATGAATTTTCAATTCTTCCCCCTCATCCTCTAAATATTACTGCTCTCTTTACTCATTTATTTATTGAGGAATTATTTATTCAATGTCTGTTTTGTGCTAGGTTCTATGTTACATGTCATCTCTTCTTCCTTTTAGATAATTTTGACTTATGGTTTCAGTTACGACTTTGCAAGTAAGGGAGCCAACCTGGCTTGGGGAACGCACCCTAGAAGGCTGCACAGTCAGGCAGTCCTAGATCTTTTACCAGGTTCCCTCTACATACCAGCTTTCTCTTTCTTTCTCTAAAGATGGAGTTGCTTTACCTCCTTATCTTTGGAGGAAAAATAGCAGCTCATTAATTTTTATATATCCTTCATATTCAGCTGTAAACAGAGACCAGATAACTGGCTCCTAATCTTGATTTCAAATTCATGGAAAAGAGAATCTGATTGGCTTGCCTAATGTAGTAAAGAGTCTGACCTCATCCTTTTTTTTTTAAATATGTTTTTATTTTATTTTTTTTATAGAGAGAGGAAGGAAGAGAGAGATTGAAACATTGATGTGAGAGAGAAACATCAATCAGCTGCTTCCTGCATGCCCCCTACTGGGAATCGAACCCAGACCTCTCAGTCCATGGGATGATGCTTAATCCACTGAGTCACACCAACCGGGTTGACCTCATTCTTGATGTTTGACCACTGACTTGATTTTAAACCTCATCACTCTTTTGTCCTTTGGCCACACAGTTTGGCAGGCTGATAGGGAGGTCTATGGGCTTACCTTGTCTGGTCTCAGTAGGAAATTTAAAACTCCCAACTGGCAGGAACTTTCTTTATTCCTGCTCCCAGCCACTAATCAAGTGACAACCCATTCCTTCTGGTTTGTCCAAGTCAGCCCAGACCTGTTTGTGTCTGCCAAACCCTCCTTGAGAGTCTCTTGTGTGAGTAATACAATTTTGGTCGAGTTCTCCAAGTGTGTCCAGGTCATTAGCCTTGAACCAAACTTAGGGTCGGAGTCCATCTTGCCTTGAAGTGGGGCTATAAAACACTTAGCTTAGATCAGACACTCACCCTGGGCCAGTCAACCATGTTATAGCACAGTGCAAACTCTGGGTGTCCTCTTCTGTGGGTAGAGGGAAATTATTATGAAAAGAGGCACTCAACACATTATTTAATTTATTTAACACATTATTACTGAGTGCTTACTTTGTGCCTGGCATTGCTTGGGGCTAGTGATTCAAAACTTGAGCATGCTAGTGAGCTAGCTAGCATGTCAGTTAAACAGATTGCAGAGTCCTACCACCAGAGTGATTCCCTAGTGGGGGATGGGGCCCAAGAGTTTTGCATTTCTAACAAGGTCCTAGGGGATGCTGATGCTGATGGTCATGGACCATACTTTGAGAACCACTGTTCTAAACAAAGTGAATAAAAGTCCATGGTGGGAGATAGCTAATAAACAATGAACACAATAAATAAATAAATTATCTAGTATGTTAGAAGATAAGTTCTATGAAACTAAAAAGCAAAGCATGTTAAAAGGAATAGGAAATGTGAGGCTCTTGGAGGAAGAGGATTCTGCAGAAGGAGTTAGAGCAAAAGCCCTAAGATTTCCAGAAGTGCACCTGGTCTGTTTTATAAATTGCAAGAAGGCCAGTATGGCTAGAGCAGAGGGGACTCATGGAGAGTAAAGGATTGGTCAGAAAAGTAAAGCTGAGTGGATGGGTAGGGGAGTCTATTATGAAAAGACTTTCAGGCCATTGCAAGAACTTTGGATTTTACTTTGAATGAAATGAAGAGTTTTGAGTAATAGCATGATATAATGTGACTTATCTTTTCAAAGGCTTGCCCAGACTACTATATTAGAAATAGACCAGAACAGGGTACGGGTGGAAGCATAAAGACCTCTCTATTGCTATAATTCAAGAGATGAAGGTGACTTGGCCAGAGTGATAGTAGTTGATGTGGCGAGAAGTGGCCAGATTCTGGATATGTTTTGAGGGAGAAGTTAACAAGAATTTCTGATGGAATGAATATAAAGAGAAAAATAAAAGATGACTCTAAGATATTTAGCCGACCAACTGGAAGGATAGAGTTGACATCAACTGAGTTGAGGAAGGCTGTGTGCGGTACAGATTGGGGCAGGGAAGATCTGAAATTCAGTTTGGGGCATGTTGAGGTGAGATATTAGATATCTGTTACATATTAGATCTATTGGATATTCAAAGAGAATTGTTGAGTAGTTAATGAGATGTATGAATCTGAAGAGACAGAGGTCTGGGCTCTAGAGGGATTTGAGAGTATTCATGTGCCAAAGCCATGGAGCTGGAAGATATCACCATGAAGTAAGTGTAGACAGAAAAGAGGACTGAACCCTGGAGCATGCCAACATAGAGAGATTGGGGGGAAGGGGAGGGGCTTGCAAAGGCAACTGAGAAAGAATGTGGCCTTTGCAGTGAAAAGAAAATCAAGAGTGTAGAGTTCTGGAAGCCAGGTGATGGTTGTGAAACAAAGTTTCTACTATGCTTCACTATTCCAGTAGTCTCTAGTGCTTCTTTCCATTTTAACCTCATCACCTCTAAAATCTGCTCTGCTCATTGCCACCAGTTAACCATCTTTGAACATGCTCCTATCATGGCACTCTGTAAACCCACAAAGACTCGTGATTTTATAAACCATAGTTTTACCAAGGTATCTTTTCTTATTTCACAATGTTCACTAGTTGAATAAATAACATTATCTTCAAAAGGCCTATATATTTCCTTTAAAAGGAAATAGCATTCAATTATAGTTTCGCCGACCCCATTATACATCATCTGTTACTATTTCCCATGGAGATCTTAGAATTAGATGGTGTTTTAGAGACCGCTTAAGTCTAAATCCTTTATTTGATCAATGCAGCCCAGAAAAGTGACTCAGTTTCCACTGTTTTCACTGAGTGTTAGGCTCTGTATAAATTATTCACCTTCTCATTGCCCCAGTGTCCTCATCTGAGAAACAGGGATGGTCATAGAGCCTAGTTAATAGAGCTGCCATGAGGAGTCAATACAATAATGCATACATAATGCTTAGTCCAGGGTTTGGCATCTTTACATACTTCTACCTGGTTTTCAAGAACTTCTGAAGTCATGTCCCACTTTACCTGTCCAGTCGTATTGCCTGCTCTTCTCCAAATTCTGACCTGCCTTTCCAGTCTCTCCTAACTGCACTGCGGTGATTTCCACTACTAGATCTTACTCACATCCTGTCTAACCTATGCCCATCTGAATCTTATCTCTTCTTAGGGTTCAACTTAAGCTCTGCCTCCTCCTTGACGTCTTTATTTCTTCTTTTCCAAGCCTCCACAATTATTACATTATTATTTGTAGTTTTTCTGTGATTTCATGTGTTTTATGTCTGACTTGATTACAGTTTCATGGAATATGAGATCACTTTAAGCTCTGAAGAATTTATTTTGTGGTGCTTAGCACACAGTAGAAACTTCATAAATGTTTATTGGTTGGTTGATTTTGAGTGCTGACCTGGTAGATTTAAAAAGTTCTGGCTCTGTAAATTATTCCCTTGAGAGGAATATAACCTAGCAACATGTACTTTACATACTTAATTCAATGAATTTATTTATACTTTATATTTTACCCGTTTCCATTAAGGATTTGAAGCAGCATATAACTTGTGGTGAGATTTTATATTGTTATACATATTAAAATAGAATGATTTTTAGGAATATGTTTAAAGAAATATGTTCTACCAAAAGAAATAGGTAAGTTGATTGTTTGTTTTTTCCTTTTGAGTTTCTAAGTTTTACCAGTAAGGTCAGTTATTTTGCCTAATGTTGAATGTGTTCAACTTAAAATATATCATGGCTTCTTGGAAGTGTCTGTTTTATTCTTCACTCTTTTCAGCTGTGAACCCTTTTGCACAAAAACTCCGAAAGTGTCAGTCAAAACCAGGAAAGAATGAAGTATATTTCATATTTTGGGTTTGGGAAATCTGATTGTTTCTCTTGGAACAGATTGTTCATTATAACAGTGTCTATAATAAATGGAGTGCACTGCCGAGATAGATGGAGATGAAATTAATTTGGCTCAGATGTAATCTTTGTTTTGCTTATGAGAATTTGAAACATCCTTACAGAGTTTCAAATTTCCATGCAATTTAGAAATAAAAGAGATTTCAAAATGTGTCTGTCTCCCTTGCCAGTGGCCGTCATCACCTTGCTGTGGCACTGTAGAACAGAGCAGCAAATGTGAACCTCTGCATATGAAATTAGTGTGTGACCTGGCCTTATCAGAATTCTTGTTTAAAACGTACGTTTCACAAGTAAAAATACTGCATAAGAGAATGTGCTTTCTGTTGTAGGTTGCCTATCAGATCGGTAACTATGAGTTGGCTAAGAAAGTTTTCTCACCAGTCTGGGATTATTTTGTCACATCACCACCTCAAAATGATCAATCTGTTATTTGTTTAAACAATATAATGACTATTACACAGAGAAGGTAATTAGAAATATTCATTTAAAATGTTAATTCACTTTTTGAAATTAAATGTTGGGTGTGAGGCCTAGAATTAATTTATTTTCAATTTCATGTTAAGAGAGTCCACATAAAACTGTTTCCAGTCAGTTTTTAGTAAGCACATACCTTTCAAGGTTCGATTCCTTGTTAGAAACTTCTTTGCTAGAATCAGAAGAAACACTGCAGGCATATGGATACATTCTGAATATAAGTTAATGAAAGTTATATAAAAAAACACCAAACATTAACCAAGGCAATGTCAATTATACTATAAAACACAAATATCATTGGGGGTTTTTATAACAGAAGGGTCAAGTTCAGATTAAAGTCGGGGTCTGATGGGTGGGTAGACAGGGTAAAAGGGTTTTCCTTTTCTTGAAGAGGCTCCCAGGATCAGACCATCAGCAACTGCCAAGAGGCCAGTAAAAGCCACATATAAAACCACAGGTCATCCTTTGCTTTGAAACCTTTTTTTTTTTTTTTCCTTAAAAGAACAAAGTTTAAGAGATGGATTTGAGAGACATTTTGGAGGAGAAAGAAACAGGACTTTGACTATCTTATGCAACTTGTTCGGATAAGAGAGGAAGGAGTGAAAGTTGACTGGGATTTCCAAGGCTACCTGGTTGGGAAGCCTATTACATTTACTGAGGGAACATGACAGGTGGAACAAGTTTTTGGATGAAGATAATGGATTTGATTGAAAATATTTTGAGTTTATTTTTCCAGCAGGACACCTTTGTAGATATGAGATATCCAGTAGGTAGTTGGATATTTAGTGCTGACATTTTAGGAGAGAAGTCAAGGCTAGAGACACTGATTTAGAAATTGTCCATTGAGATCATTGTTGAAATTTTGACAATACGTGCTATTTCCCAGGGAATGACTATTTTTCAGAAAAGATAGAAGGCTGGAATTTGAACCCTGGGTATGCTTACATTTAAGAGACAGAAGCAGAGATGGAACCAAGGGAGGCTATTGAAAAGGAGCAGTCCAGAAGGTGAAAGTTTGAGAAAGCATATTGTCAAGGGCAGTAAGAACATCACCATGGAGGGACTGGCCAGCAGTTTTGAATGCTAGTGCAAGGTCAGGTTGGTAGAATGGTACAGAAAGACTGAGGAGGATGTAAACTGTGAAGAAGCTTTTAGAGTTGGCATTTATTTAGGAGGATGTTGGTGAGTTCAAGAGTGATTTTTATGCTATGATGAGACAGAAACCTTTCACAATTGGCTAAGGAATAAATGAAAATGGAGACTTGTAACAAGCAGACTACTCGTGAAGTTTGGTGATAAAGAGAAGAGGAAAATGGGAAGAAGCTTGAGGGGGAGGGCAAGTTTAAGGAATTTTGGAGGGTAGAGGGAAGGGAGCCAGTAGAGAGGGAGAGACTGAAGGTCCAAGATGCGGGTGATGATGATACTGTGCTAGAACCAAGAGGTTGGAAGAGCGCATGGGGTGGAGAATGGGAGTTTAGAACATTTGTTGTGGGGAATATAAGGTGACATCAGGGATAAAGGGAAGTGTTGCTGAGAAGCACTAATGACTCAGTTGCTTTTACATAACATGAATTGAAGTAGAGCCCAGTTCCTTGTGTCTAAGGGCCACTTTTGATTCATCCTTACATCCCAGGTCCTAGAATAATGTCTTGTATATAGTAGGTGTTCAGAAAATGATAGCTTGAATGCAAAAAGGAATGAATGAGAATCAATAAGTAAACAGCTAGTTGAGCATTGTGGCAGGAATAGAAAAATTGGACAGTGACTTCTGTGCAAAGTCAGACAAATTGATTGTTGGATAAAACAAGGGGAGCAGAATCTAAAGTGCTAAAGAGGCCACTATTGAAATGACTACCAGAGTCTGAGCAAGGTAGGGGAGGACATGGAGCCAGGAGGAGATGATAGCCTGGATTTGTTGCATATGTCAAGGTTCTGATGGTCAGCATGAGGACAAAGAGAGTGGAGGAACTAAAATTCTCCTGGCAAAGGTAATTTTAGAGTTTAACATTGTGGTAAAACAGGTATCTTTAGGTGTGAGTTACTGATGTTAGGCTCTTTCTTGTTTTATAGGAATAGGGTGTATGGAGAGTAGATGGACCTGAAGGTTAAAGGGGAGGGTTTGTCACCAAGTAAGGCTAAGGGTAAGGAAGGGAATATTGGGAACAAAGAAGGAAGATTGTAGAATTCCCAGTTTTGCCAATGGTTGGCACTGTTGACCACAATTTAGAAAAGATAATTAGAAATAATCCAAAACGTCTTTCTCTTTCTCTCTCTAAATAGCTGATTCTGCTATAAATGACCCTCATTTTCAGAAAGTTCATTAATTAATGGTCTTATTTTCCAAACTTCTAAATATCTATAGTTATTTCATTATATTGATAAAAAAGAGCTTAGAACCAGAAAGCTTTGACAATAGTCATTTTTATGTATCTATGACATAATATGGCAGCAGCTTAATTCTCTTAGTTGTGAACTTGCTGTTAAGGATAATCTTTGTTTTTAACTTAAACATTGTTTGAGAGTAGCTGTTCCACAATTTTTGCTGCTATCTTGGGATCATTGTGTAGGTACCAAGAACAAATCAATGTAAAAAAGCAAGTTCACATGCTAAATCATTTTATATTTAAACCTGTAACATTGTTTGCTTCCTTTTGTAGATTATATTCAGATATTTTGGCAGAGACATCTTCAATTCTTTTATACTTTTTTCTCAGAAATATTTTTGTAATAAGTGACATTAAAATTAAAGAAGAAAATCTTTTCTGTGATAATATCAAAGGCAATCAGATTTTTCCTTCTCAACAAGTAAGTGAATTAAAATGAATGCAAACGGGCCAATTTCCCTTTATTTGTTTCTTGATGTTTCAACTTCAGGTTTTTTGGGGGAATGTAAATCCTGGCTTGTGAATGGACTGAGGGGCCATTGTGTGTTTGTGCTGGTTTATTTGATATTCTATGTAGGATTCATGGCCCTGAGTTCATTTTTTTCTTTTTTTTTCAATATAAATGGAGTCATGATATATTTGTTGTTCTGCACTTTGACCTTTTAACAGTTTTATAATATATCTTGGACATATTTTTATACTGATATGTATGAATTATCAAATTCTTTTAAATTATAATATTGCATTCCTGTACAGAGGCAGGAATTTAACCTATCTCCTATGGATAGAGTCTCAGGGTGCTTATAAACTTTGTTCTGTGTACAGGTACAACCTGATAATGCTCTTGCTGTTAATAACAATCCTACTGTTTTTTTTTTTTTTTTCCCACTTCAGATTGAGATTACTTTAGATATATGGAGGCTTTTGCCATTTTTTTGTTAGTTTTTTCTTGCTGCTGCTTTTTCCTACCCTTCCATTTATTCATTAGTTAACCAATAAACTGTTATATGAGCTTGTATTAGTTTCTGTGAATTTGAAAGTGAAAGAAAACTTGACTTTTTGCCCAAAGCAAGCCCACAGTCCTGTAGAGCCCAGGCATGCACAACCACCAGTCTGTTCCTACGGCACTGCGTTCAGTGTCTTCTTTCGGCATCCAGTCTGAAAGAAAGACAATCCTGAGTACTCCAGTGATTTCCAGAATGCTAGATGCCATTCGAGTCATAATTTGCGGTATGGAAATTTCTGGTTGCCACTCATATCGTTTTCTTTGTACATAATCTTGTATGTGTATACATAGAAAAATAATGAAATCTTCCTTAGGAAAGGGAAAGGAGGAGTAAGATAAGATTCTTATTCTTTTTAAGTGTCATTTAATCACAAACGTTTTATCTTTATATTTTACTATCATTTTTATTTAAGTAGGAGAATTATAACAGAAGAGTAGTTTGCTCTACTGAAAATTTATTATTTTCTCACAAATCCAGAAGGGAAATGGGGCTCTGTTAATCAAGTGGGAGCAATATTACAGAGACATTGTATTTTAAATATTATTTCTTTTTTTAAAATTTATTTTTATTTATTTTTTAAATTCTCACCCCAGGATATTTTTTCATTTTATCCTTTAGATAGGGGTGGGGGAGGGGGGAGAGAAAGAAACATCTTTGTGAGAGACACATCGACTGGTTACCCCCTGCATGACCCTGACCAGGGCCAGTGACCAACTGCAACTGAGGTACGTGCCATTAGCCAGAATCGAAGCTGGGTCTCACTGGTCCGCGGGCCGACGCTCTAATCTCTGTTTTTGTAACAACTCTCTTTTTTCTAACATTAAAATATAGCCAAGATTTTATCTTGCAACTTAAAGAAAGATTGGCTCTTTTTCTGTTACTAGTGACATTTCTCTTGTTTTACAAAATATTCTCAAGTTTAATTCTAAAATTGTGTTACCCTTGTGTAACAGTATTTGGGAGTTAGTGTTGTTCCTGAATTTAGATTTTTCTTTATACCAACATTCATGTTGATAAACCACAGGGATCACATTTCTTACCCTTTGTTTTCCTTGGAGACACATTAGTTAAGTACCTGATATTTAATTTGTGTAACAATACCTGTTTCTTTACAGATTGCTAGACTAACAGAATGTGAGAGAGTACTAGTGGCATTGGAACTTAGCACCTACCTGAATGATTCCAGTTATGCCCTTCAAGCTGTGACTCAATGTTACGGCCTTCTTGCTCCTATAATTTATCACAATATCGTTTTGGTACCTGTTGTACAGGTAAGGGTATTCCTTCCTCTTCTCCCCCTATATAAGGGAATTTTTACAAAGGCAACCCAACAATGCATTTTGGAAAAGAAAAAAACAATGTATCTCTAAAAAGTACAAGTAACAAGTATTTTATGAAATTTCATGAGTTAACAGAAAAACATTTTAGTAATTTAAATGATATGTCTGGGCAGACACATAAAAGAACTTAAAATGTGTTTCTCTTAAAAATCAGCCCTATTGCTGTCCATATTTAAATATTGGCAATATGCTTTTCTAGATTTTAAAATTTCATTTCACTTTTTATGTTCTTGTAATGTTAGAAGCAGCAGTATTAAAAGCATATTGTTAAAGCTATCATCTGGGGGAAAATTGGTGGATGACCCAAGAAAACATGCTTGATGTCTCAGAGCAGGAAAAGTTGGAGGATACCCTGGCTGAAAGGATTGTATTAGTTGTGTATGCTTCCTAACAAATCACCATAAACTTAGTGACTTAAAACAACACCCATTTACAATGTTGCATTTCTGTGGGCCAGGAAACTGGATATGGGTTAGCTGGTCCGTTCAGGGTCTCTTCAGGCTGAAAGCAGAGCTGCGATCTCATTTGAGACTCAGGGATCTCTTCCAAGCTCACTGGTTGTTGAGAAAATTCATTTTCTTGCAATTGTGTGATAGGAGTTTTTCGGCTCCCAAAGGCTAACTACCATTTCCTGCCCCATCATGGCACTTTGCTTCTTCAAGGCCAGCAGGAGTCTTATATAATGTAATGTAGTCATGAGAGTGACCATGCCATCACATTCACAGGTCTTCCCTCTGCTCAAGGGGAGGGGTTACACAGGGCTTATAACCCAGGGGGAGGGATTTGGGGACTACCTTAGAATCCTGTTTACCACAGGGAAGCAATGAGAGAGGAAGATTTTACTGCTGATGGTACAGAAAGTTATCACCACCATCATCACCATCATCATCATCATCATCATCATCATCATCATCATCGACTCAGATTTTGAGAGCCAAGAAGATGTCAGTGAACTTATGCAAAGTATAGAAATTTAAAATTCGCTGTTGAGGAAACTAACCAAAGAGCATAAGTAACTTGACAAATGTTCACCTTGAAGTGGCTCTGCTAGAATATAGACAGGCCTCCTTCTCACAAATCCCCAGTACCCAGTAGTTCAGCTGCTGAAGAGATATGCCTCCAAAAATCTAAAATTGAGACTAATAGTAGGCAGCTTTCCAGATCACTTGTGAATGGATTGAGCTGTTTTTTCAAGTGTAGAATATTCTTCCTTCTGTATCCAAAAGCGTTGACCTGTCACTGTCCTTTCTGTTTAAGAGATGTGAGATGCCAGATGTCGGACCTACTTTGGAGGGAGTGTCTCAGCATGTCCCAGATATTTTAATAATGTGTTAGGCCCCTGAATCTTCATAGGGTTTATTTCTACCCTCTGGAGGACATGCATCATCCCTTGCTCTTTAGTGTAGTTATCATTTCTTGCTCATTAGGTCTGATTAACATAACGTTATTGATATAGTGGTCTAATGTTTTGTTTTGAGAAATGTCCAGAAAGTTCAGATACTTTCGTAAAATATTATGTCAGAGTGTGGGAGAGTTGTCATTGCCCTGGAGCAAGACTCTAAATGTAGATTCGTATCTGCCCAGTGTGAATGGGAACTTCGGTACTTCTTTCCCAGAGGGTAGAAGAGAGGACATGAACCATTATCAATGCATGCCTTGTAATGTACTCTAGCAAGGGTACCACATTAGGAACAGCAGCTATGGTTGGTGCTCAGCTGGTTGGGTTCAGGATAGTCCACTGTCATCTTTTAGGATCCTACCAACTCAGGGTGCCTTTAGCTACAGCTCAGAATGGGTTGTAGCTGTGAGGCAAAGCCTTAGGAATGGCATTTCTAATTAAATTGTATTGTTTAGAATCTGAAACAGTGAGTGGAACAAAGAGGAGATTCCAGAAATAGACCTCACTATGTATGAGAATGTAATGTATGACAGAATTGGCATTCCCATTTAGTAGGAAGAGAATGGATATTTTTAGTACATTGTAGCGAAACACCTAAACATTTATTTGAAATAAAGTAGAGTTTGATACTATTTTTACCATATACAAAAAGTTGAGATCATAACTATAAACTGAATAAAAAAATTTGACCCCCCCCAAAAAAAAAATCCCAGGAGATTACCTGTAGAATCCAGGATTGGGGGAACCATTTCTAATCAAGATAGAATTCTTAGAAACAACAAGGGGAAAAGAGACATATTTTACTATACATACAGCAATCTATGTGTGAAAAAGGGACCACAATAAAGATAGTAGAAAATATATGGATTTGGAAAAAATACATCTAACACTGATGAAGGATAAGTACATATAATAAAAAGTCTTACAAATTGACAGTAATGTAACAGAAAAATGGGCACAGGATACAAATAGTTTATCAGAAAATCAAATCCAAGTGGCTGAGAGACATATGAAAAGATTCTCAAACTCTGAATATTTATATATGTGCACTTTAAATGAACAATGTAACATCACTGGCAGATTGAAAAGATCTGGAACTCCTGTTGCTGGTGAGGATGTGGGGCAAAGGCCTTCTCGTTCATTCATGGGGGAAATGTGAACTGTTATAGGTGTTGGATTTTGGTAAAGCAATCTTAATTTTAATTAAACCAAATCTAATTTTGATTAAAATAAAAAACAGGTATACCTGACAGCAATCCTTCGATTAATAGTTTATCCCATAGAATAACATCACCAGTTGGTAAGCTGCTACTCCAAGTTTCACCCCTTGGTTCCCGGATCCACATGTTCTACCTGATGGGATGCAGTGCTATATAATGGTCATTGACTTAGAATTTATACTGTGTCCTGGAGGTTGGTGCCTCATCCTTACTGGGCATTGTCTCAAAGCTGGCACCTCAGTGACCTCTCATATTGGAAACTGAGCCTATATAATGGTATTTATTGAGGCATTTTTGGTGGTGGCCATAAAACTGGAGACAGAGAGAAAGTATAGTAACAGAAGGATGGCCCAGTTGTAAAACCTCAATCCTAAAATTATGCAATGTGGAGATTCTGGAAATGACTGGATAAATTATGATTGATCCACAGCAAATGATATTATGCAGCCATTAGATATAATAAATTGGAGCTAAACCTGTAGACTTGGAGGGATTTTTTTATAAGACATGGCTGAAGGAGAAAGGCAGTTCACAAAAGTGTGTGTAAATCCCATGTTGTAACCTAACATTAACCCTCTTATGTACATTTAGTATTTATACACACACACAATTATTTCAGCCAGGATAATACTACAAAAGTTAATGTCATTAACATGATTTAGGGATATGATGTGGTAGGGTAGGAGAGGGTGATGGTGGAAGGGGGTAAATTAAGAAAACGTATACCGTAACAGTAGTGATAATATTGTTAGAATGGTAATTTGAAGATTAGTGTACTCCCAACATCCATATATTAATTTGTCCTTTGGGATAATCTGAATGAAAAATAGATTGATGCAATCTCAACTCTACTTTTTTTTTTTTATCCTCACCCGAGGACATTTTTCCATTTTTTATTCAGGTAGAGTGGGAGGGAGAGAGAGGAACAGAGAGAGAGGAGAGAAACATCGATGTGAAGGGACGCATCGAGTGGCTGCCACCCGCACGACCAACCAGGGCCGGGGACAAACTGCAACCGAGGTACGTGCCCTTAGCGGAAACCGAACCCGGGTCTCTCCAGACTGCAGGCCGACGCTCTAACCGCTGAGCCAAACTGGCCAGCGCTCAACTCTACTTTTTTGATGGTAATATTGCTTAGGACTGTGCAACAGAATAGAAAGTAAACTTAATTGTCTAGTTCTTGATAAAATTAAGGGTCATATATTATGAAGCAAGGAGAATAGAGGTAAATACCAGTAGTAATTGGTTTCCTAGCATATGAATGTTTGGTTTTAATTTTGAAGGAAACTAGTATTTCAAGTACCTGGTAGTGTGTATTTAATATGGTACATCCTCTTCCATATGGTTTTTCAAGGTCCTCCTAAGCCTGGATGTGATCTTAGTGTTTCTTGTATACGCGTAATATTCTGTCTATATCTTTTATGGCACTTGACAAAATATACTTTGTTTTATAGCTATTCATGTACTTATTTTATTTGCTCCATAGGTTTTCAAGTTACTTTAGATGAGGGACTCATCTGAAAATTGAACATATCAATTTTATTTCAGAGTACATTCCTCTATACATGATAAACAATTTATTAATAGTTATTGATAGCAATAATATTTGATGGCTTGAAACTTGTATGACTTGAATAGAACTTTTTGTAATGTGTAAGGATAATGTTTCTCAACAAAACCATTGCATTTCTATTTTTTAGATCTTGATAAAGTGTATGGTGGCTTTACAAGGACTACCAAATCTCATCCACTCAAAGAAACATGTTGCGAGTTTTGAAAGCGTACAGCACATGATAGCTTGTTGCATCTTCTACATAACAAAGGTATTTATCTCATTCTTCGTCCTGTGTTATAAAATTTAGGAGCAGTAATGATTTAGAAAGTCAAGCTACTTTTATAGGAATTACTTTATTTATTTATTTATTTATTTATTTATTTATTTTTTATCCTCACCCGAGGACACTTTTTCAATATTTTGTTCGGACAGAGTGGGAGGGAGAAAGAGGGAGAGAAACATCAATGTGAAAGGGACACATCGAGTGGCTGCCACCCACACAACCCAATCAGGGCCGGGGACAAACTGCAACCGAGGTACATGCCCTTAGTGGGAACCGAACCCAGGTCTCTCCGGACTGCAGGCCGATGTTCTAACCGCTGAGCCAAACTGGCCAGGGCTACAGGAATTACTTTAAAAAATAGCACCCTAAAAACATTTTAGGTCAAAAGTAGCCTAGGCATGCCAGTTGGTAAAGCATGGAGGGGTGTATCTTGGGGAGGTGGAGTGATATAAAGAAGGCATTTTATGGGACCTCATTCATTTTGGGAACTAGAAAGAACCAAGAGACTGGAGGTGGAGTGGTAGGCTTATTTATCCTTGTTGCATGGCTCAGAGACCAGCACTGTGTGTTTCTTCAAAGGTTTGGTTGACTGAATCCAGTGAATCTCCTCAAAGAAGGGCCATTATCTCCCTGCCTTTTTCTTGTGGTCTCTCACAGGACCTTTCTGATTTGGTCAGGGATCTGGAAGAAGACTGTCTATGCGGGCTGATTTGGTCCATCACTTTTGTTGGGCTAAAGTTTGCTCCTATGGACACCTCTAGCCTCTATATTAGCAAAGAGGTCATGATGTTCTGGCTGTTCATGGCCTGACCTCAGGATCAGAAACTCATGTTTCTTCCAACACTCAGTGGTTTAGCACTATTGGAGAGACCTTTATGGCCTGGTTTGTGTAGATGCTGAGGGAACATAAGCCATTAGCAGGAAGAGGAAGATAGTAACTCACTTAAGGAGACTTAGAACCCCAAGGGGGGAAGAGCAGACCAGACACTAAAATAATTGTTATTTACTCTTACCATGTTTGAAAAGACCAGAGATGACTTAAAAAAAAAAGGAAAAGAAATAAAAAACTTTCAAGGTGATGCCATTAGATGATCAAAACTCAAAACAAAAATAATCTCTAACTGAACAAACAAATTTGATTTTTTGTTAAAAAAATTAAACAGATGAAGATTATGATTATGGTATTTCTTGAGTCAAATCTGGAAGCTCAAGAAATACTTGACAACATAAAACAGAATTGTCCAGAGATCAATCCAGAAGGAAGACCCAGAAGTCGTACTGTGAAATGAAAGGCATTTTGGAGGAAGAAAAGAAACAACTGGAGGAGTAATAGGCTCCCCTAGTCCGAGGCAGGATACATATAAGAACACATATCTAGACATATGTTGCCGAAATGCCTAAAGTCCAACGATAAGGACAAATCTTAAAGTTTTGAGACTCAAAGAATAGGTTATTTGCAATGGAAAGAAAATTAATTAGCCTCACACTTTTTTTTTATCAGCAACATTAGAAGTTAAAATAGTGGAGCAACATTTGTAGAATCCTGAGGGTCCAAGAATTAATAAGCAGGAAAGATATCATTCATTTGTCAGGGTAAAATAAACATTTTCAGAAGTGCAGGCATTTAAAAAGTATTCTGCTGATGTACTTATCTGAGGAAAACACTTGAGGAAATACTCTATCAAATGACAATTGGTTCAGAACAGCAATCCCAAGATAGGGAAAGACAAAAAGGAGAGGAATAATGGGAGCAGTGAATCTTACAATGTATGTATTATTAAAATTAAATAGATAATAATGATGTGACTAGGACTTTGTGCTATGAATACTAAATAGGGATTCTCAAAATAGAAGCATCATCCTTGAAAGGAAAACTTATCAGTAACCTAGAACTAAAACTTTTATCCTGTTTGGGGCTGAGGGAGGGTTGAGCAGTTAGAGAACCTTGGTGCATGGTAGTGAGTTAAAAAAAAAAAAAAGAAATACACACACACACACACACACACACACACACATATAGTAAAATACATATAGTATACAATTATTTTCTTTTGATAGAATAAATATATTTCAAGATGACTCAGAGGAATATGTAGCCATGAACAGAACTTTAAAATACAGACTTCTGAATTGATAGGAACGAAAAATGAACAGAGGAATGACAGGGAAGAAAAATGGTTAATTCAGCAAAAGTAAGAAGAAGGAAAAAAAAGACAATATATAGGATGGAAGGAATAAAATAACATATATTAATTACTTCACTGTGAATGAACTTAGAAGTCAGAGATTGGCAGATGGGTTAAAAAGTCAGATTTAAATGTATATTATTTAAATAAAACAGAATGACAAACACTGGCTGAAACATAAAGTACTGGGAAGATGCAAACAAAAATAAAGGAGGAGTGGCAATTTTCATATCTGAAAAAGCGGAATTCAGGGCCCAAAACATTAATCAGAACAAAGAGAGGCATACTATGGTGTTCTTCAAGTCTGTTGTGTCTGACCACCCTTCTCTGCTCTTGGATGGCATCTGGTGATTTTCTGGTTTAGGACAGTCTTATCGTCAAGTACTAAAGATCAATTCTGAATTAAAACAAAACTTGAATTTTTTTACAGCAGCAAATTAAAAGGATTAAAAATAAGGTTATATGAAAATACTACAAAGTATTTGATAACACTTAGCAACTTTTCCTGATAAATGAAAGGAAGCTATTGAATATAGTAGTCACTCCTTACTTGTGGGGGATATATTCCAAGATCCCTGAAACCACAGATAGCACTGAACCTTATATATACTATGTCTTTTTTCTATACATACATATGATAAAATTTAATTTATCAGTTAGGCACAGTAAGAGATTAACAACAATAACTAATAATAAAATAGAACAATTATAACACTATACTAAAATGAAACGTTATGTGAATGTGATCTCTCTCCTTTCTCAAAATATCTATTTGTACTATACTCACCCTTATTGTGATAATGTGAGTGGATACAATGCCTATGTGCTGAGGTGAAGTGAGGTGAATGACATAGGCATTGTGATGTAGTGTTAGGCTGAGCCATGTGGGCTCTTTTGTCATTCTTAAACCCTCCCCAACCTTGAGAATCTTCCTGCCGCTGTTAGCTCGGTCATTGTCACATGGTGTAACCATTGAGAAAGCAGGGTCCCACGCAATCCAAAGCACCCCCTTCTGTTTCTGCTGCTCAGTCACACACATTAATTACTGTTATGCTAGGCTAAAAGTGCACCTTCCAGGTTACATTTCTTCAGAATATATTCATCTGCTTGGCCTTTTCTCCCCAAACCCTTCATCAATGAGTATTTCCAGGAGAGGGGTTGCACTCTCTCTCTAGGACACTGGACAACTACTCACAATAGATTTAAATAGCTAACAGTGACTATTACAGTGTTACCTCCGGAACAAAGAAACTCCACTCTAAGGCAGCTTGTTGCTTGCAGTTGGCCAATAGTCACTTCTGCTAAACACCAACCAACCAACGAAACATGAACCCACTTTTGCTTATTCAGGTGCTCCAAAACATGTCTATTAATAGGGAGGAGCCAGGAAAGGAACAGGACGAGGATGTAAGAGAGGAGGGGTGACCAGTAGAGCAAGATCCCCGAGAAGGCAGGAGGCAGTGGGGTCTGAGCACATGTGGGAGGGGTTAGTCTGGACAGGAGATTCACCGCTCCCCTCCAACAGGTAGAAAAAATGGTTGGAATTATAGGTGAGTGTGTAGGTAGATTTGTGGACTGGAGATAAGCAAGTCCCCTTACAGTTCCTCTGTGGAAATGAAGCAAGGTCATTTGCTAAGAGTGAGGAGATGACTAATAAGGGAGAGTTTCAGAGATTTGAGGAGAACGGGAGGGTTTGTGACAGTGTCTGTGGAAAATGGGAGAGTGCGGACCCAGAATAGTTTCCAACCAGCATTTGGGGCCAAGTGGAGGTTGAAGTCTTTGAGTTCATGTGACTCCTTTTTTGGCCTCATGTGACTTTTTCCCCATAGTACACAAGCAGCTTGGGGCTGGCTCCATATTTCTTGATTTTTCCATCCTTGACTCTACTTCCTTTTCACCCACTTGAGGAAAGATATTGAGATCCAAGTGATACTATTGTACAAATGACCTTGAACATTCTGGACATTTAAAAAAATTTATTGATTTTAGAGAGAGGAAGAGAGGGAAGAAAGGAGAGAGAGAGAGAGAGAGAGAGAGAGAGAGAGAGAGAGAGAGAGAAACATCGATTTATTGTTCCCTTATTTATATACTCATTGATTGCTTCTTGTATGTGCCCTGACCCGAGATGGACCTCACAACCTTGGCATATAGGGATGATGTTCTAACCAACTGAGCTACTCAGCCAGGGCTGGACGTTTTTTAAAAAAGTAAAGTATACATTAATTTAGGATTTTGCTATATATTACTAGCAGGATTTTGCTGTTAGAGCTGTCTGTCTCAAATTGATATGCTAAGAATTGTTATTCCAAATACTTCCTCCAGCATGACCAGCAGTCCCAGAACCTTGGACTAGTCCTGAATCCCAGATTTCAGGTGTTCATTTCATTTAAACACGTTTTTCTATAGATTTTCTCTTATAAAACCCAATTAGTCAAATGGCAGTTTCTTTTCTCTGTCATGTTTTAAAAATTGGTAATCTTTTCAGATGGCTCAGTCTTTCTTCTATAAACAGCAGTAGTTTTTCTGAAAGTTGCCAGAATTCCAAATGAAGTGCCACTTCTGAGACACATCATCTTCAATGTTTCATTATTTTGGCATTGTTAAAAAATTATTATGCTAAACATCTGGCTAGTCTTTTTATTTCTGCTCATTTGGTATGGTAAGTAGAATTGGTTCCTTTTTTCTTTTGATTTGAAAGGTTCTTTATCATTTAGTGTTTTCTACTGGCATATTATAACAAAGGGAAAAGATTACATAGTACTCTAAGCCTAAGACCTAAATATGTCTGAAAGCAAAGTTGAGTGGAGAGCAAACATTAGCTCATTTTTGTTTTCTAATAACAACAAAATGATCTCCCTATTGTATCATTTTATAATGAGGTTAGACTGTTTTGCCTGGCATTCAAGGCCCTGCATGACTAAACCCATCTACGTTTTCAAACTTTATTTCACCATTTTCCTTCCTACCCTTTGTTCCACAGTCAGCATTAGTTACCACTGTGGTGCTGGTCCCACAGAAGTATTTCCAGTTCATAGCGCCCTGCGTTAAGTTGGTCTCTTTTAAGAGAAGCAACTATTCTCTTTCTTTTTCAGCCACTTCTTGTATCCTTTCCCTGCATGGGAAGTAACAGTTGTTCCTTATTGTAAATATTAACTTATTTAACTTAACAGAATACATCTACATATAACAAATTCATGCAAACTTATTTATACCCATAGAGATTGCCATATGGGGTTCACAATGAGTGTGCTCCCTTCCTGTGACCCTCCACTACAGCAGATTCTCTGCAGATCAGATTGCTGTCCAGGGAAGCGTTCTTGGAGTTGATGCTAGAGCCCAGGTTTTAATGACCAGGTTACGTTAATATCCTTACATTGCATTTATATGGGGAAGCTGTTCTGAGAAATGGCTCAGCTGTAGGAAAGCATGAAATCCTGAAACCATGGTGAGTGTCAGAAGTTATACTTGGCTCAATATTTTCTAAACTTAAAGAACAAAGAGATGAGTGGTGAAAGATGAAGAGGTAGGTAAGGGCCAGGCTAGAGAAGGCAAAGAATAACAATTAATAACAGGGAATATGGATAAAAGTGACAGAGTGGGCCATTCCCCTTCTTCTGATTCTGTCTGCTTCCCCTGGGGTTCATGGAGAATTTGCCAAAAACAGCTTAACTCTAGCTCAGTCCACTACCAGAATGCCTTGTAAATCATTTACTGATATAAATGCCCTCCACCCCCACACCATGAGGTCAGTAATTGTGCCATTTCACATAGACAGCAACTCAGGACAAGAGGTGATGGTTATGTGGCCTTTAAGAATGATTTTGCTTTAGCGTGGATCTTTTAAGAGGAAACATTTTCTGAATAGTTAAACTGACTGTTTTAAAACAAATACGGCTATATGTCCCAGAGACGGGGTATTCATTATTGATGAGATTTCCTGTTACTTGTCCTTTATTCAAAATAGTGGAACCATGCAGTTTAATTCTGGGAAATAGGATCCAGTGGTGAGCTTCCAGTTTCCTTTAACAGAAACAGGGGAATTGTTAAACCCCAAACATCAACAGGACTTTTGGGTTTATGAAAAATGATGCAAGACACTTGAGAATCTTCACAAGTTTCCAACAGAGATAATTAGTAAATATTTTAAATTAGATTCTGCGTTCATGGAAGGAATATGACCTGGCAGTGGTTATTATAAATTATGGAAAGAGGATGCTGGACATCACGTCAGAGTGCAGATCTCTGTTTGGTACTACTGAACCAGAGGAAGCACAAGACGGGGTAACTGCTTTTTGTTCCTCATCTCTAAGCTTATATTTAGTGGAGTCTATTAAGAGGTAAAGTATTATTAGTAAACATATTAAAAACAGATCAGTGTTTAATTTGTTGTATTTACATATAAGCAAAGATGTCTATAGTGAAGAGACCTCGCCCCCCTTTTTTTTGTGATTAAAAAAAAAAGAGAAGGAATTCATGCTAAAATACTGAAGAATTTCCTGTCACCAGTACTGATTGTCAGGGCTCGATAGTGAGCTTCCTTCACCCAGGTGGACATTGGACGAAAAGCCCTGTATAGTCTCTCCCAAATTGAAGATTTTATCATCCTGGGTGCATCACTGAATGTAGTAAATACATGTCAGAGCTTTTCATTGTACTCAAAGTAGATTCCCCAAACTCATTGTCACACCTAAATTGTCTCCTTTATGAGACTGCTAATGTTTGAGACAACTTTCTAATGCCTGCCTCCCAAGCATGGGTCTTACTGGAGACTGTTTTATTGCCTTTCCTAGAAGCTGTATGGTTAAATGTTTTGTTGATCACACTTGAACTGTTGCTTAGTTTACCAGGTTTACGAGGTGCACTAGGGATCACTTGAATCCCCTTCAGTGACTGGGTTGTGGGTAGGACTACCACTCCGAGTCCGTTTCAGTTGGAGTAGCTCCATTCCTATCTCTATTATATGTTGTTTCCAAGCAAGCATTTATTTGCCACAAAAATCTTCAACTATCAGCAGTTTTACTGGATAAATATTTTAGCTGTAATACCTTTTTTTTTTTTTTTTAAATGGGGTTGCTTTATCTAGAGAGATTTTTTTTTTTTTTTTAATCCTCACCCGAGGATATTTTTCCATTTTTTGTAGAGATAGAATGGGAGGGAGAAAGAGGAAGGGAGAGAGAGTGAGAAACATCGACGTGAAGGGACACATCGAGTGGCTGCCACCCGCACGACCAACCAGGGCCGGGGACAAACTGCAACCGAAGTACATGCCCTTAGCGGGAACCGAACCCGGGTCTCTCCGGACCGCAGGCCGACGCTCTAACCACCGAGCCAAACCGGCCAGGGCTAGAGAGATTTTTTAAATTAAGCTGGAGGCAATTTGAGGGTTTTCCACACCACGTGTTCCCCAGCAGCCCATCAGCCAGCTCCTATGTCACCAGGCTTTACCTCCGGACGCTGTCTTTGCAAATCGGCAGGACAGGCCCCTTGCCTCTTGCCTTGGAGTCCCACTTTCCCTCTGGCGTTTATTAGTTCACGTCGTGTAGCCATGTAGATCATAGTTTTATTTGGAAGTACGAAAATGTAATTTTAAGGATGTTATTTGAAAAATGACAATTGCTGAAACGTGTTGAAGTATATTCTGAAATTTAACCAATGTTTCTAGGGTTGTTCTAAGAAGCCTTCCAAGATGAAGAAGCCACAGCAGATATTATCACCTGAAAAAATAAATGAACAACTGGCCTTGTTGGAGTCACACCTTCTCAAACTGACAAAGCAATGTCAGTCTTTTTCTTTCTTTCTGTATACTTCTGTTGAGCATTCTGTTTTTTAAAATAAGAAAATATTTTGTTAAAAGGATTTAGAGGAGATTAGCATTTGGTAAACCCATTAAAGTTTACACAGTACTTTTATATTATGTCAATAATCATAATATTCTGTTAATAAGGGATTGCTAACTGCTTTTTACAGATGTGACTCATAAAGATGAAGTGGTTTATTTAGGATTGCATAGCTAGTTTGTATTTGAGCCCAACTCTTCTGATTCTAAAGCAGGAGATCCCAACCTTGACACTACTGCCAATTCAGGCCAGATCATTCTTTGTTGTGGGGGGCTGTCCTAGGCATTGTGGGAGTTGAGCAGCATCCTGGCCTCTATTTATTGATGTAGCATACCAGCCTCCCAGTTGTGATAACCAACTGGGAGGCAAATGTTGCCAAATATGTTAGGGAGGGAGGGTGCAGAATTGAGAATCACTGCTCTGAAGGCAAAAGTGTAACTGAGAAATAAAAAGCATGAAGGGATGTTAATGTGTGAGTGATTTGAACCATGATCTATCTGTTCAAGTGAAAGATTAGTTTAATTTCAGGTCATTGTGCTATATAGTAATATGTTAACACAATGATTGGAATTTTGGAGTTAGCAATTTAGAAATCTGCTTAAGAAATTGATTTAGTTTCTGATGATAAGTATTATCCCATTCTTTAAAAGCAGGTACTTCAGATCTTTTAGTAACAAAAGAGTACCTAAATTTCTTTTAAGTGGGAGGCTCCACTTTTGGGAATTGACTACACTTGTAGAATTCTGTGTCCCTAACTTACCTCTTTTACTGTGTGTCTCAGTTATATCTGGGCGGTTTTAGTGTTTCGGAATTCCCTGACTTGGATTTTTTGTTCATCGTTCTCCATGTCTGTTACAAGCTGAATTTATGAATTTAATCCAGTGCTCTAGTATTCACATAACCAGTAAACATAATTTTGGGAAAGCTATACTTGTCTGGTTATATATAAAAATATAATTCCTTAAAATGTAAAGTGTTCCAGAAATGTGAATTATTTTTTTTATATTATCAAAAGAAGGAAGGAAAGAAGGAAGGAAGGAAGGAAGGAAGGAAGGAAGGAAGGAAGGAAGGAAGGAAGGAAGGAAGGAGAAAGAAAGAAAGGAAAGAAAGGAAAGAAAAGAAAGAAAGGAAAGAAAGGAAGAAAGAAAGAAAGCAAGCCCCTAGCATTTTACCAGGAAGCACAGTGTAATGTTATTCATTTTACTAACTGAACAGTAGATTCAATAACAAAACAGTAATAAAAATACTAGTTTTATATAGTGCTTCCTGTGTGCCAAAAACTACTTTTTTAAAAAAAAACAACTCATATAATCCCTATATAACCATTATACCAAGAAGGTATTATTATTATTCCCATTTTAAAGATAAGGAAACTGAGGCACAAAGAAGCTGAGTACCTTCCCAAGGTCTCATAACTAAAAAATGTCTGGGTTACTCTGAATCCAGGCAGTCTTGCTCCAATGGCTGTGCTATTCATCATTCTATGCTTTACTGTCTTTAAATAATTTTATAAAAATGAAGCTAATGTAATTGGTAGGTTTCTTAGTCTGGGCTTTGCTAATATACAACAGCTATTAAATAACAGGAACTTCTACCTTGAAAATTCTTCACCTATTTGGTAGCAGACTCCTTGGCTCTTAGGGGGGAAAATGAAAGGAAATAATTGAGATTAATGAATTTTTAAATCTCCAAAATATGATATAATTGATAATTTTAAGGCACATAATTTAGAGAGAATACTTGGGTGTTTTCCTATTTTTTATCTCCAAAGAATTTTATTTGGTTATTTATGTTAAACAGAATGTACAACTTATTATTATTTTTAACCTTAGATGTCACAGGTGAACTCTCAGGAGGAGAGGACCCTATCTTTCTTTACCCTGTAGTTTTAAATTGGTCAGTCAAAAATGCTGTGAAAGAAGGTAGGTGACCTGTTCACTTGACTTACTATTTGAAGATCATTTATTCTGTGGTTTTGTTGTGTTTGCTTCTTAACGGTCTAACGTATTCCAGGAAGAAGATTTTGGGTTCTTTACCCATTTAGAGTAATTCAGGCTCTTGACTGTCAAGTAACAAAAGAGACCTAAGTAGGAACCTGATTTAAAGTTTGGGAAGACAGAACCTTGACGCTGGCTTATTTGGGTAGTAAATGCTTTAATTATTAAACTTACAAAAACTAGGGAATTAAAAAATGTGTTAGTGATCTTTAAGTTCAGCTATGAAGAATTAGCAACATTATTGCTTAACTCAGAATGCAATATAATAAAAATTAAAATAATTAGTTATTCTGATATTATCAGCAGTTGTTTTTCCAAATAGTCATACATGAGAGGCAGCTTTTATGAAATCTTTCTTAACATGGAGATATTTGGAAAATAAATGAAATACAGACTGCAAAGGATTATGTTATTTTATTTTATTTATTGTTGAAAGTATTACATATGTCCCCCCCTTTTCCCCATTGACCGCTCCCACCCCCTTCTTGCCTTCCCCAGCCTAGTGTCCCTGTTGATTTGTTGTGCATATATGCATATAAGTTCTTTGGTTTATCTCTCCACTCCTCCCTCTCACCATCCCTCTGAGGTTTGTCAGTGTGTTCCCTACTTTCATGATTCTGAATCTCTTGGTCAACAACTTATTTTGTTATTTTCCATAAATATGTGAGATCATGTGGTACTTGTCTTTCTTGGACTGGCTTATTTTGCTTAGCATAATACATTCCAGGTCCCTTCATGTCATCTCAAAGGTTAAAAACATCTCTTTTTCTTACAGCTGCATAGTATTCCATTGTGTAAATGTACTATGGCTTTTTTATTCACTCATCTATTGCTGGACACTTGGGCTGTTTCCAGATCTTAGCTATTGTAAATAGCACTGCTATGAACATGGGGGTGCATATATTTTTCCTGATTGGTGTTTCAGGCTTCTTCAGATATATTCCAAGAAGTAAGATCATTGGGTCAAATGGCAGTTCCATTTTTAATTCTTTGAGGAAACATCTTATTGTTTTTCATAGTGGCTGTACCAGTCTGCATTCCCACCAGCAATATGCTAGAGTCCCCTTTTCTCCACATCCTTGCCAGCACTTGTTGTTTAAAGATTTGTTGATGGCCTCCATTCTGTCAGGTGTGAGGTGATACCTCATAGTCATTTTAATTTGCATCTCTGATGATTAGAGATATTGAAAATTTTTTCATATGTCTCCCGGCCATTTGTATGTCCTGTTCGGAGAGGTGTCTATTTAGGTCCTCTGCCCATTTACTTTTTTTTTTTTTAAATCCTCACCTGAGGATATTTTTACATTTACCTTCAGACAGAGGTGGGGGGGGGGAGATATCAATGTGAGAGAGACGCATCGATTGGTTGCCACTGGCACGGCCCCAGAGGGGTCGGGGATGAACTGTAACCGAAGTACATGCCCTTGGCTGGAAATGAACCGGAAACTCTTTGGTCCACATGCTGATGTGCTAACGGCTGAGCCAAACTGGCCATGGCCCTCTGCCCATTTTTAATTGGATTGTTTGTCTTCCTTTTGTTGGGTTGTGTGAGTACTTTATATATTTTGGATATTAACCCCTTATCTGATGTATTGTTGGCAAATATGTTCTCTAAGAGAGTGGGTTCTCTTTTGATTTTGATGCTGGGTTTTTTTTGCAACACCGAAGCTTTTTAGTTTGATGTGGTCCCCTTTATTAATTTTTTCCTTTGTTTCTCTTGCCCTAGGCAATGTATCAGTGAAAATTCTGCTACATATGATGTCTGAGATTTTTCTACCTACATTTTCTTCTAGGATTTTTATGGTTTCACAGGTTATATTTAAGTCTTTTATCCATTTGAGTTTATTCTGGTATATGGTGTAAGTTGGTGGTCTAATTTCATTATTTTGAATATATCTGTCCAATTTTCCCAGCACCATTTATTGAAGAGACTGTCTTTTGTCCATTTTATGCTTTTGCCTCCTTTGTTGAATATTAATTGGGAATACTGTCTTGGGTCATTATCTGAGTTCTCTGTTCTGTTCCATTGCTCTATATGTCTGTTCTTGTGCCAGTAACAGGCTGTTTTGATTACAATGGCTTTGTAATATAACTTGATACCTGGTATTGTGATCCCTCCCACTTTGTTCTTCTTTTTCAAAATTGTTGTGGCTATTCGGGGTCTTTTATGGTTCCATATAAACTTTTGTTTGTTCTAGGTCTGTGAAATATGCCACTGGTACTTTAATAGGGATTGCATTGAATCTGTAGATTGCTTTCAGTAGTGTGGACATTTTAATGATGTTGATTTTTCTGATCCATGAGCATGGTACATGTTTCCCCATTTTTATGTCTTCCTCTATTACTTTTTTCAATGTCCTGTAGTTTTCTGAAAACAGGTTTTTCACCTCCTTGGTCAAGTTTATTCCTAGGTATTTTATTTTTTGTGGTTGCAATGGTAAATGGGATTTTGTTTTGTTTTGTTTTCCTTTCTGAGTGTTCATTATTGGTGTATAAGAATGCCATCAATTTCTGGATGTTAATTTTATATACTGCTACTTTGCCAAATTCACTTATTAAATGAAACAGATTTTTTTTTAAATTCTCACCCAAGGACATTTTTGCATTTATCTTCAGATAGAGTGTGAGGGAGAGAGGAAGGGAGAAAGAGAGAAACATTGATGTGAGAGACACACATTGAGTGGTTGCCACCCACACAACCCCAACTGGGGCTGGGGACAAACTGCAACCAAGGTACATGCCCTTAGTGGGAACCGAAACCAGGACTCTCCAGTCTGTGGGCCGACACTCTTAACAGCTGAGCCAAACTGGCCAGGGCCAGATTTTTGAAGGAGTTTTTAGGGTTTTCTATGTCCAATATCATGTCATTGGCGAATAATGACAGTTTCACTTATTACTTTCTTATTATTTTTTCTTCTTGTCTAATTTCTGTGGCTAAGATTTCCAGTACAATGTTAAATAAGAGTGGTGAAAGTGGGCATCCTTGTCTTGTTCCTGTTCTTAAGGGAAATACTGTTAGTTATTGCCCATTGTGTATGATGTTGTCTGTAGGTTTTTCATATATGACCTTTATTATGTTGAGATATGATCCCTCTATTTCCACTTTGCTGAGTGTTTTTATAAGAAATGGGTGCTGGATTTTATAGAATGCTTTTTCAGCATCTATTGATATGATCATATGGTTTTTATCTTTCATTTTGTTTACGTGGTGTATCACATTTATTGAGTTGCAAATATTGTACCAGCCTTGCATCCCTGGGATGAATTCCACTTGGTTATGGTGAATACTTTTTTTGATGTTTTGCTGGATCCAATTTGCTAATATTTTGTTGAGGATTTTGGCATCTGTGTTCATCAGTGATATTGGTCTGTAGTTTTTTTTCTTTGTAGTGTCTTTATCTGGTTTTGGAATTAGGATTATGCTGACCTCATAAAAAGAGTTTGGAAGTCTTGCTTCTTCTTGGGCTTTTTGGAATAGTTTGAGGACAATGTGTATTAATTCTTCTTTGAATGTTCAGTAAAACTCCCCTGTGAAGCTATCTGAGCCTGGGCTTTTGTTTGCTGTGAGTTTCTTGATTACATCTTAAATTTCCTTAGATGTTATTGGTCTGTTCAAGTTTCTTGTCTCTTCACGGTTCAGTTTTGGGAGACTGTGTGATTTTAGAAATGTGTTCATTTCATCTAGATTTTCCAATTTGTTGGTGTATAATTATTCATAGTATTTTAAAATAATTCTTTGTATTTCTGTGGTGTCAGTTGATATTTCTCCTCTTTCGTTTCTGAAATTGTTTATTTGGATCCTTTTTCTTTGTTTCTTACTGAGTATGGCTACGGGTTCATCAATCTTGTTTATCTTTTCAAAGAACCAGATCTTTGTTTCATTGATGTTTTGAATTTTTTTTCTAGCCTCTATGTCATTTATTTTTTTCTCTGACCTTTACTATTTCTTTCTTTCTACTTGCTTGGAGTTTTTCTTTTCGTTTACTTTCTAGTTCTTTAAGTTGAAGGGTTAGAAAGTCAATCAGAAATTTCTCTTGCTTCTTGAGGTAAGCCTGTAGTGCTATGAAGTTTCCTCTCTGGACTGCTTTTTGCTGTGTCCCATAGATTTTGTGTTGTGCCTTTATTTTCATTGATTTCCAGGAAGCTTTTTATTTCTTCCTTGGTAAGCCATTCATTGTTTAATAACATGCTATGTAGCCTCCATGTGTTTGAATGTTTTTGAGTGTTTTTATGGTAACTAATTTTTAGTTTGATGCCATTGTGATCTGAGAAGATGATTTCAATTTTTTTGAACTTGTAGAGACTTAGTTTGTGTTCTAACCTGTGGTCTATCTTGGAGAATGTGCCATGTGTACTTGAGAAGAATGTGAATTCTACAGTTTCGGGTGTAATTCTCTGTAAATATCTATTTTATTTATCTCTTTATTAAATCTATTTTATGTGATCCATTATAGAGTCTCTGTTTCCTTGTTAGTTTTTTGTCTGAAGGATCTATCCAGTGATGTCAGTGGGGTGTTTAAGTCCCCTACTATGATTGTATTGCTGTCGATTTCTCCTTTGAAGTCCTCCAGAAGTTTTAAAATGTTTTTTGGTGCTCTTATATTGGGTGCATATATGTTTACCAAGGTTATATCTTCCTGTTAGATCCTTTCAATATTTTGTAGTGGTCTTCTTTATCTCTAGTTATGGCCTTCATTTTGAAGTCTATTTTATTGGATATGAGTATTGACTGCTACTGCAGCTTTTCTTTCCTTTTCATTTTCTTGGACAATTTTTTTCCACCCCTTCACTTTCAACATATGTGAATATTTTGTTGTCAGGTGGGTCTCATATATATATATATATATATATATATATATATATATATATATATATATATGTCAGGCTTTTTTTTCTCCATTCAGCTACTCTGTGTGTTTTGATCAGAGCATTTAATCCATTTATATTTAAAGTTATTATTGATATGTACTTACATATTGCCATTTTAATTTATTATGGTTATGTTTCTCTCATTTTTTCTGCTTATTACAGCAATCCTCTTAACATTTCTTGCAGTGCTGGTTTGGTGCTAATATATTCCCTTAGCCTTTTTTTTTTTTTTTTGGTCTGGGAAGCTCTTTTTTTCACCTTCTATTCTGAATGATAGCCTTGCTGGATAGAGTTGTCATGAATTCAGATGCTTGTTTTTCATTAACTTGAATATTTCATGCTATTCCCTTCTGACCTGTAGTGTTTCTGTTGAGAAAAGAGCTGATAGCCTTATCTCCTTTGTAGATAACCTGTTGTTTTTCTCTTGCTACCTTTAAGATTCTCTCTTTGCCTTTACTTTTTGGAATTTTAATTATGATGTGTCTTGGTGTAGTCCTCTTTGGGTTCTTGTTACTTGGATCTCTCTGTGCTTCTTGAAGTTGCCTTTTTTCTTCACCAAGTGGGGGATGTTTTCCATCACTATTTCTTCAAATATATTCTCTAACCCTTGCTCATTTTCTTTTTCTTCTGAAACTCCTATGATGTGGATGTTATTACATTTCATATTTTCCCACAGTTCTCTTAAACTTTCCTCATTGGTTCTCTAATTAGGTGATTTTTTTTGGACCCTGTCTTCTAATTTGTTGATCTGGTCCTCGGCTTCCTCTACTCTGCTGGTTATTCCTTCCAATGTATTTTTTATTTCTGCTATGTCATTCTTCATTTGTGCTTGATGGTTTTTCATTTTCAGCTGGTTGTTTCTATAGCTTTACTCATGTTGAGTTCTTTACTCATGCTGTTGAACTTCATCATAATCATTACTCTGAACTCTGCCTCTGATAACTTGCTTAATTCCATTTCATTTATCCATTTTTCTGAAGAATTCTCTTGGTCTTTCATTTGAGATTTGTTTCTTTGTTTCACCATTTTGGCTGTCTCAGTGGGTTTTGGAGCCTGCCAAAATTTCCCTGTGCGTGTTGGTGTTCCGCCGATTGTGGCTTGCTCTATTGGGGTTGAGTGAGTGTGGGAGGGCCCACATTAAATATTAATGTTTAGCCTTACTTTCCTGGGTAGATTCACAGGCCAAGCAGCGATTCATTATCCTAGAGCTTTTGCCTGCAGGCTGTTAGTCTCAGTTAATTAATAAACCTCAGGTTGTAGCCCTCAGCTGAATGAAAAATCCCTCAGCTGAACAGGGTAAGAGGATTTCCAGTGGGTGGATTTTTGATTAAAAAGAAACAACACCAAAAAACAGTTCTCACCACATTTACTCCTACATATTTTGTACAAGTGAGAAATCTGAAAAGCAGGTTGAATTTTCCTGTTTAAACAAAATGAGAATTATTATTAGCAACACTAAAGCCAATAACTAAGTGTATTTGTAACAATATATGAACTTTCTTGTTTTCACAGTCATGAAATTTAAGCAGAGACCTAGATTCCTGGAGTTTTTTACTCAAGTTATGCTAAAATGTATAAATGATGAAAAATTTAACCTTGTGGTGGAGATCACAAGTTCTGTCTGTGACTTCTTGAAAAGGTACTTGTCATATCTATATTATTGCTACTAACAACTTTAAAAAGTGAGTACTATTGTCACGTAAAGATATGTAAGGCAGATGAAAAAAATTGTAGGATATAGACAGTTAAAACAGCCACTTGGGAGAGAGCGAGGATTTATATCTGTGTGTAAAAAAAAGTAAACATAAAAGTATTTATACAGCTGAACTAAGGAATAAGATTAGAGTAGATTTATATTTGCAATAGGCAATAAATTAGACATTTTTGGTATTGAGTAAAGATGGATGAAAACATCTTCTGGGACTTCAGCTTCTCCCATATAGGCCTCTGGGTCCAGTTTTCATCATTTACCATGGTCTTCTAATTCCTCTACATTAGCCAGCAGATCCATTCCTTGGGGTTTCATTTACATATGTGAATGGGGAGTTCCTCAAATAGAAGTAGTAAAACTTGAAGCTATCCCTTTGTTCTCTAAGCCTGGATGATTCTCTTGGCCTCCAGATAAAATGATCATGTTTCATGCCAGTTATGAGATGCCAAATGAACCCAACTTTTGTTGCAACAATGTGCCTAGATCTATCTCATTTTAATAATAGGCAGTATCAATAACGCAGAGTCTATTTAAAAAGTGGCTGCAGAAGAGAAACTTTATCACAAAGTCACACAGGAAAATAGTCTGCTAAAATAGGCATATCTATTATTGGAACAAATGCTTGGACTATATATATGTTTCATATTTTCGAAACATAAAAGAGGAAATCACTTGTATTAAGTGAAAGCAGGCTAAGGTAATAAGAGAATTGGTCAGAATTAAAAAGTTCCATTACATTAAAAACAACATAGCCAAAATTAGATGTATGGAAGCTGTAAATAATATTCTTGATAACAAAGAAAATTAGAAGACACTATCAGTGTGCAGTGAAATTTGGAGGGCTGACTGTGGAAGTCCAAAATAGGTATTCTGAAAGAAGAAAACAGAGGAAGTGGCTTAGAAGAATTGACCAGTGGTACAATAAAAGAGCTGAAGTTGAAGATTGAGTGGTATAAACGAGTTCAAACTGAAGGTAATGATTTCAGTTTTCAGGCTGAGCAGATATTTTAGGAGCTCTTCTCCAAGCATAGGAGTATAGAGGAGGGCTGATGCAACACCTTGATTTCTACTTTGATAGTAGTATCTGTCTTCTTTTGTGTTCAGATGCTTAACATAGTTTTTGCACAAAGAAGTTTTCTCATTCTACAACAGACACATACACAGCTTTATTTTCTTCCAACTTTATGATTTTATGGTTTCTATTTAATCCATATAGATTTTTTTGGTATGAAGATTTAGATTAAAATTTAGTGTTTTGTTTTCCCCTAAAAATTTTATCAACAGTCCTGGTAATATTTAAAGAGTTTTAATTTTTGTAAGTTGGTTTTAATGCCACCCTTTTACATTCAAAGTATGTAATGTAAAGTATGTATTGGATAATTCTACCAATAATGTGCATAAATCACAATGAAGATATTTCATGAACTTTCGTGTTCTACATAACAAAACGCCAAAGTATATGGAAATAACTGATGAAAAGACAAGGCTAATTTGACAGAAACAATAATACAGAGTTTAACATGCTATTTTAAAAGAAATGAAAAGGACATAGAAAATATACCCAATAAAATTAAGATTAATATATATATATACTCAATTGAGACTAAACACCCTTTAAAGTACTCATTAAATTTTAAAAAGTAGTATTTTAGCTGAGAAAATAAAGCTCAGTAGATCACTCAGACTAAAATTTGTAAAGACCACATTCTCTTACAGTACAATAAAACTGAAATTTTATAACAAAATGAATTATTGGCATATAAAATTATTGGATTAAAAGAGAAATCTAACTAAAGGTATAGTGCCTTTTAAAAATAATGATAACAGAAATACTAATATAAATGTACTCAAAGCAGCAGTTAGAGACAAGATTTTTTAGCTTTAGAAGCGTTTATTACTAAAAAGGAAAAATAAAATTAAATGAACTTTTATCGAACTCACAAAATTAGAGAAATAAAATAATCTAAGAAAGCAGAAAGAAGAAAACAAAAGTTAAAATTAATCCATTATAAGTTGATTTTAAACTAGGGCAATGGAGAACTGCCGGAGCTGGTTCTCTGAAGATATAATTAATTAGGTAAATTTCTGGCTGATATAATAAGAAAAAGCAAAATCCAAGAGAAAAATAATCATAAATTTGAAGCCGTTAAACTAACATTACATAACAGTATATAGTATTTAAAAGAATACATTTGAAAGTCTAATTGTAAGTGGTGATTATCTGGAAAAATTTAAATTAGAAGAATTGATTGAAGCTCTAAAAAAATTTGATAGCTCAGATTATTATTTAGGTTAGGTTTTTTTATATTTTAAAGAAGCAAATTTTATACAACAGGCTCTTATATAGCTTTATTAAAAGACAATGAGAAACAGAAAAATATGGCTCTGGACAGTTTGACTCAGTGGTTAGAGTGTTGGCCCATGGACCTAAGGGTCTTGGGTTCCATTCCTAGTCAAGAGCACATACCTGTGTTGCAGGTTTGATCCCTGGCCCTGGTCGGGGTCGTATGGGAGGCAACCAATCGATGTGTTTCTCTCACACTGATGTTTCTCTCTCCCCCCCTCCCTCCCACTCTATCTAAAAAAAATCAATGGAAAAATATCCTCAGGCGAGGAGTAACAAAAAATAAAAATAAAAAGAAAGAAAAATAAAATTATGAATTGTTCTCATTTAGCACTATATGGGAGCAAAAATCCAAAATGTGATACTAGCTTATTAATTCAGAGTGAAAATGTAAATTTTATTCTCAATATAAATATAGGAGTAGAAAAATCTGTGAATATAATTGACGCTGGTAGTCAAAGGAGTCTTTTTTTTTCTTCTTTTTTTTTTTAAAGTGGTTCTTAGACTCTTATTTATTTTTTCATTTATTTTTAATCCTCACCTGAGGATATTTTTACATTTATCTTCAGATAGAGTGGGAGGGAGGGAGAGAGAGAGAGAAACATCAATGTGAGAGACACACATCGACTGGTTGCCTCCTGTACAACCCCTGCCAGGGCTGGGGACAAACTGCAACTGACATATGTGCCCTTGGCTGGAGTTGAACCTGGGTCTTTTTGTTCCACAGGCCAACGCTCTAACTGCTGGGTCAAACTGGCCAGGGCATCAATGGAGTCTTTAGCAGATGCTAAAAGTCGTGAAATTTAGCAATCATTTCTGGCAAATTAGGATTAGAAGTATATTTTCTGTTAAAATAAACTCTACAACAAGGAAACCTCCTATTCCTTCTACCATTTCATATTGTTTTGAAAGTTCTTGCCAGTGCATTAAAATAAGAAATAGAAATTGTGATTAGAATTTATGTAACTATCACATAATAGGGTCTCAAAATGTTTGTCAAATGAATTCTACATGAAGAAGGCTGAAAATGAAGATAAAATGATTGATATTTGCAAATAATAATTATTGTTATTTTAAAAATCCTTACTCAAGGATATGTTTGTTTGTTTTTTTAATCCTCCTCACCCAAGGACATTTTTTGCATTTATCTTCAGATAGAGCCGTAGGTAGAGAGGGGGGAAAAGAGAGAGAGAAACATCCATGTAAGAGAGACACACCGAGTGGCTACCACCCATACAATCCCAACCGGGCGTGGGACAAACTGCAACCGAGGTATGTACCCTTAGCAGGAACCGAACCCGGGACTCTGTGGTCCACGGGCTGACGCTCTAACCGCTGAGCGAAATCAGCCAGGGCAAGGGTATATATTTTTTAAAAATTGATTTGAGAGAGAGAGAAACATTGATGTGAGAGAGAAACATTGATCGGTTGCCTCCCATATGTACCCCGACCAGGGACCAAACCTGCAACCTAGGTATGAGTCCTGACTGGGAATCAAACCTGCAATGTTTTGGTGTACAGGACAAAGCTCTAACCAACTGAGCCACCCGGCTAGGGTGCAAATAATTATTTTTTAACCTAACAAGCTAATTAACTAAAAACTATCAGAACTAATAACAGAATTTCACAGTATGGCTAGACGAAAAATTTCAAAATCAATAGCTTTCCTATATCAAATAAAAAGTACAACAGAAAAATTATACCATTTCTGTGAAGTACAAGATTAATTTATTGGGAGTTGTGAGAGGACTTAGGTTAATATAAAGAAGACCAAATATCCTTACTAAGAGATATTAAAAAGAATGACTTGAATAAATGGAGAGTCATAGTATACTGCTTAATGGGCAGATGGAATATTGTAAAGATTTCTATTGCCTTCAAATTAACTTATAGGTTTAATGCAATTCCAATCAGATTAGATTATATGGGTAGGCTAAAATAGTTTTAAAAATTAAAAAGAGTAAAAGGAGAAATTCGTACTGTCTGCTAGAGTATAAAGTTAGGCAGACAGCCATTGGGACTCAATGTTTCAAGTCAGAAACATGCAATAATACAAGTAATCAAATAAGGAATAAACCATGAAATTAAAGATAAATAATGCTGACTACATAAAAATTGAAAAATACCATTTTTTATAATACAACATAAACAAAAAGCAGTCAGAACTGGGAGGAAGCATTCTATGAAGAGGTCGAGCTGTGAAGAATGCAATTCATTCAGTGGATGAGAGTTCTGCTGAGCATGGAGGAGAATGCTGAGAGGAACGAGAAGATGATAGCCCAGGTGCACATTCATGAACTCCTCTCTTTGCATCTTTTTGTGGAATACAGCAACCAGGTCAAGCATCTTGTGGGGTGGGTTAGGGATGAGGTAAGGAAGAGACCGAGCTGATTGGAAAATGGCAGGCCACCAGTCTCAAGTTGCTTGTTATGCAGGATGGATCTCCAAACCCCTAGTAGTCACTGGTCCAACATTCCTAGTTCGGGCGGACAAAACATTTACCAGAATGAATACCTAACTGACTGGGAGATTCTTGGAATTGCTGCAGCTGGTCTGGAGCTCCAACCAACCATAGGATCCAGGTTCATTATCATCAAAATGGAAGCAAGAGGCCAACTTTAGTGGGACCAACATGAGTTTAGAACTGTCACTATCAGTGGGACCAAGATGAATTGGAACTATCCAGACTTACCCAACCATTTCATTAGCCTTGATTGATGTGACTGTACATTTTATTCAATTCAAGCTTTGGATTTTACTTATTATGTTACAGCAGAGTTTTGCTGTACTTACCAAAAGAAATATAAATTTTAAGAAATATACCAATTTCAGGGAAAATAGGTGGTAAGTATCAATAGAAGGTAGGATAATGAGAAACTTCATAGTATTTGGAGAGTGGGCCAGATTACTGTAGAGGTCCATGGCAGATGAAACAAAAACAAGGTTAAGAATCCCTACAGGTGATTGGAGGAAGAGAGAAAGTTTAGTAGTTGTCTAAAATACTTAGCTTTTGTCGGTATCCAAAGGTGATAATGGCTGGAAGCTTGCACATGATGGAATCAAAGAGTCTAAAATCTGTTGGAAGCAAGGTAGTTTGTCTAGGTCACTCTTATGTAGTTATCTTCTCAGTTTTATGGTGAAGTGTTCATGTTTTATTTTTGGTCCAATTTTATTGTTTTTAAATCACACCTCAGCTCTAATAAAATTTTGTGGTACAATTTACATTGTGCTCTTTGGAGAGGTCAACTATTCCTTGATGACCAGGAATATCACAGGCTAATTTTGCATGGGACACAAACAATTTTGGAAATTCTTCTTGCATAATTTTAGTGACAACATTTATTAAAGATTTATTACTTTGGGGTAGTTTTGCAAATTTTTGAAGATTCTTTTTACCAACTTTACCTTTTTTGTATTAGGAGAAATGAGTCCCTTCTTAGAGTAAAAAGAATGAACTATAAGGAAAATACTTTGTGTAAAAAGGGGACTAAACCTGTGAAGAAGTTCAAAGCTGCATTAATGGAGATTAGGAGAGTAAGTTTCATGACTTTTTAATTTTGAGCTAAAAAAATGAAATAATTTATTGCATTATAATTTATGTAACATGGAACACAAGGAAACACAAGCATAATTTTATAATTATATATTATGATTCTTAGGTTTTCATATGGATATTTATTTTAATTTTTTTTTTTTTTTATCCTCACCCGAGGACATTTTTCCATTTTTTTTGTTCAGATAGAGCAGGAGGGAGAGAGAGGAAGAGAGAGAGAGAGAAACATCGATGTAAAGGGACACATCGAGTGGCTGCCACCCGCACGACCAACCAGGGCCGGGGACAAACTGCAACCGAGGTACGTGCCCTTAGCGGGAACCGAACCCGGGTCTCTCTGTACTGCAGGCCGTCGCTCCAACCGCTGAGCCAAACGGGCCAGGGCTATTTTAATTTTTAAAAATTGATTTTAGGTGGGGAGAAAGAGAGGAGAACTCCGATATGAGAGAGACACATTGATCAGTTGCCCCTTGCATGTGCCCCCACCAGGGATTAAACCCACAACCTGGGTATGTAACCTGATCAGGAATTGAACTTCCATTGTATGGGACAACCCTTCAACCAACTGAGCCTCACCAGCCAGTGCTCATATGCATATTTTTGTAATCATATTTTTTTGCCTACAGGGGTATTTTTGTAATTATTGACAATAATTATAATTGAGGGGTACAAAGAAACCACAGTATTTCAATGTCAAGAGATAAACCTTAGAGTATGAATAAATTATAGTATTGTATTCAGAATTAATTTTAGCTTGTAACATTTTTTGTTTTCTCCTGTTTTAAGACTTCAGAAATACAACCAAAACGAAGGAAAAGAAAGGAAACTCTAAGAGAATTTTTATTCAAAAATCCATGTATTTCTGAAATGACAGAACATGAAAGGTATTCATTTATTATTTAATTAATTAAAAAACATTTACTTGAAGGTTAATATCTGTTAGGAATTATTTTGGGCTTTAAGGATACAGTGGTTAACTAGATAGATAAGATCACTGCCCTCAAGGAGCTTGCATACAGATGAAAATAGCACAGTAATGAGTAAATGTACACATAAACAAGACAATTTTAATTTTCATGAATTTTATAAAATAAATGAACAAGATGATATGCTACAGAGGCATCGGCCTGGGGTGAAGGTGATGGCAGCAGTAATTTAGTTAGAGTGGTCAGAAGACCAAATTGGTAAATTACTTTTATTATTGATGGACCTAATAATGTTCTTGTTGGATAAAACTTAAATCATTAAACTTATCATGGTCAAATGTTTAGTTTCTATTTTTATGAGTATGCGTTTATGATTTTTTTTTTTTTTTTTTTTTATCCTCACCCGAGGATATTTTTCCATTTTTTGTACAGATAGAGTGGGAGGGAGAGAGAGGAAGGGAGAGAGAGAGAGAAACATCGACGTGAAGGGGCACATCGAGTGGCTGCCACCCGCTCGACCAACCAGGGCCGGGGACAAACTGCAACCGAAGTACGTGCCCTTAGCGGGAACCGAGCCCAGGTCTCTCTGGACCGCAGGCCGACGCTCTAACCGCTGAGCCAAACTGGCCAGGGCTGATTTTATACATTCTTGTATCTTACCCTCATTATGTAATATCTTTCTTGTTTATTGATTTTTATCTTAATTTGCAACTATAGAACCATTCTCACTTTCTTTTGTTTACATTTACCTATCTTTTTTATTATTACTTTACTTTTAAAATTTAAGTTATGACATATTTTAGATGGGTATAGAAAATAATATAACAAATGAACATCGACCCAGTGTGCAGTTTACCATACAGAATATTTCAAACACAGTTGAAATTCCCATGCATCTCTCTTGGAATGCATTTTCATTCTCCTTATTCCAGTAGTTTATTATGTTTGTGAGTGACTTTATACTTCAGTTATGTATGAACTATAATATGTTATTTTTTACGATTTGCTTTGTCAATTTGTTCTTTATCTTCAACATTATGTTTGTGATATATATTTTTTCATGTTGATTATACATTAAGTCTAGTGATTCATTTCATTTCTGTATAGTATTCCATTGTATGAGTAAATACACTTTATTCAGTCTCCTGTAATAGGGCATTTAAATTGTTTTAAGTGGCGTGCACTTCTCAAGATATGAACATCTTTGTTTTTTCTTTCCATTACTGGATATTGCTAAGTTGCTCTTAAATTTTCATCAGTGGTGTTTCAATTTTTCACTACTCAATGTTTTTACCAACACTTACTATTACTATCAAATTTTCTAATTTTTGTGAAACTATGAGTTGTGAATTTTATCTCATTGTTATTTTAATTTTTATTTCGTTGATTACTGATGTGGTTAGGCATCTTTTTATATTTTTATTGGACCCTGTGGTTTTTTAGTCTCTGGACTGCTTGTTTAAATCCTTGCACATTTAAAAACTTTTCTTTTCTTCTTTAACTTTGGAAGTTTAGATATGAATGTTTTCCTACTTTGTGGCTTATCCGTATACATTTTAAAGTTTATTTTAAAAATCATAAGTTGTAATTGTTAATGGAGTCAATTATAACAATATTTCCAGTTTATTGTTTTTGAATTTTTTCTCTAACCTGAGATAGTTAAAAGTATTTTCTTAGCAAATTTAAATGTTTGATTTTCACATTTAGAAATTTCATTCAACTGTAATTTAATTTTGTGAATAGTGAGAGTAAGAGTCCCCCCATCCCGCTTTTTTATTTTCATTTTAGGTACCCAATTGGCTAGCTCCGTTTATTGAGTAGTCTATTCTGTGATCACTGTCACTTTTGTCATTTAGCAAGTTTTCCTATATGTAGTTTTGCCATCTTGTTTATGTCCCATTAATCAACTTATCTATTCCCGAATCAATGTCACACCATTATACTTACTCTGGCTTTAAATCCAGCATGTTCTTGTCCTTCATTTGTCTTAAGTCTTGGATATTCTTCCACAGAATAGTTTGGAATAGCTTATCAAGTAATACAAAAAAACTTGTGGTTTTGATAGAAATAGAATTTAACATATGGATTATTTTGGGCTTTTTTTTTTTTTTTTTTTACAATCTTGAGTCTTTCTTTTAGTAGACAGATGACTTAGGTCATATTTAGTGCCTTCAATAACTTTTTATGTTATTCTTCATATTCTTTTGTTAGCTGCATCAAAGAAATGCTTTTTGTGTTAGTGTAAATAGTACTTTAAGATTACATTTTGATTGCCTTATTCTTTTGTATAGAGACATAATTGGCTTATAAACAACTTGATCTATACACTTTGATAGTTTATTCATAGATACAGGTTTTCTGTGTGGATAATCATATTGTGAACAGATAATGAAAATTTTGCTTATTTTTTCTAATGCTCAAGCCTCTTATTTCCTTTTCTTGTCTAGTCTATATCTTAGGACCTCTAGTTTAATATTGAATAAAATATGTGATTGTGGACATCCTTGTTGTAACATGCATTTTTAAAAACTTCATGCAGTTATAAGAAATAATACGAAGAGACCCCACATATCCTTCACTCAGTTTCTCCTGAGTTAACTATCTGACTATAGTAAGATAGTACAACCAGGAAATTCACTACAGCAATTTAACATGCACACATATATGTGTGCATATTTCGTTTTGTGTGATCCCACCAACCTTTATGCTATCTTTTTATAGCTACAGCCACCTTCCTTCTTTCTTACCCCCAGCCTCTGGCAACAACCAGTTTGTTCTCCATCTGTATAATTTTGTCATTTCAAGAATGTTATGAAAATGTAATTACACGGTATGTAACTTTCTGAGATTGGCTTTTTCTTTTCCTTTAGCATAATTACTTTGAGATCCACCCAAGTTGTATGAATAACTAGTTCATTATTATTGCTTAGTAATATTCTGTGATATTGATGTGCCACAATTAATTTAACCGTTTACCCATTGAAGGACTTTTGAATTGTTTCCAGTTGGGGCTGTTAAGAATAATGATGATATGAACATTCATGTACAGGTTTTGCATGTGGACATAAATTCCTCATTTTGCTGGGATATAATGCCCAGTAGTGCAATTGCTAGGCTGTATGGTAAATGTATGAGAGTTCTAGTTTCCCTTCACACTTGCTAGATTTAGTGTTATCACTGTTTTGTATTTTAGACATTAAAATAGGTGTTGGTGATATTTTGTGACTTTAATGTGCATTTCTCCAATGGATAATGATATTGAACATCATGAAGAATGACACTGACCAATGGGACCAGCAGCATTGTCAACAGTCAAAAAAAGTTGATAAAAGTATTTTGAAGAAATGAAGTCATGACATATTAACAATCATATAATGATAAAAATATTTAGCCCTGGCCAGTTTGGCTCAGCGGTTAGAGCGTCAGCCTGCGGTCCGGAGAGACCCGGGTTCGGTTCCTGCTAAGGGCACGTACTTCGGTTGCAGTTTGTCCCCGGCCCTGGTTGGTCATGCGGGTGGCAGCCACTTGATGTGTCCCTTCACATCAATGTTTCTCTCTCTCTCTCCCTTCCTCTCTCTCTCTCCCACTCTATCTGTACAAAAAATGGAAAAATATCGTCGGGTGAGGATAAAAAAAATAAAAATTTAGACTGCTTTGAGATTTTGATAGGAGTAATTTAAAAAAAATATATATTATACTTAAAATATGAACTGTTAGATACTTTTTAAAGTGTTAGTTTTTTCCCCAGAGCATATTGAATATGGTTTAATGAAGTTATTTCATTTATCTAGACTGATGTTTTATTTCCTTCTACAGTCTAACTAATGTTAGAAAAATTTTTGCTTCATTGTTTTTTTTAAAGAACCATACAGAGACATGATTTTCTTGTTCAATATTGAATTAGTTGATGAATGTGAACAATTATGTTATGATTTATTTGTCTAATCTCAGTGGCCTTTTTGGTTATGGAAAAGAAAAGCTCTGGTTTGAGCTTAGGACACAGACATCACAGAGAATTGGAGACAATATGCAATGACTTTGTCCCTCGTATTTATTCTTGTGCCTTCTTTATTGTCCTATTCCACATTTTCAGCACTGGGTAAATGATAAATAAGCCAGTAACATTTGCATAAAGGCGGTCAAGTGACTTCTTAATTATGTACAAATTGAAATCATTCCCCTTCAAATATCTGAAAGTATATTTCAAAACTTTTTTGTTCCTCGGCAGAAATAAGAGAAGTGATGTTAGAAAAACTGCCTATCGATTCCTGGTGGATTACTTCAATCCTCTACTATATAATTACGTTAAAAGGAGGAGGTTCCATCAAATATGTCTTGAAGAGATGCCCTGGAAGGCTCAGATGAACCTGTATCTGGCAAACGCACACTTCAACCTGCTTTTAATAAAGCTAGGGGAACGTATGAAGATGAAATTGGGCAGTTCACATACCATAGTCAGGTATAGTATCATCAATGAGGAATACTTTTAAAGTCTCAAGAACTTATATTGTGTTTGTATGTTTAGGGCTCCAATGTTGATAATAACTTAAGGAAGTTTACAGAGTGCTTCTATCTTTCCTGGCCATCGATATATTTCTTAATTTCTTATCTTAGAATCTTTTCCAAACAGATGAAAGACATTAAGTGCTTATGAAGGACTCATTTGCATATGCCTTGACTATGTTTCCGAATATGACTTTCAGTGAAAGGCGAAAATATAATTTCAAGAGAAATTTAATATTAATTGTACAATAAGTGTAGATATTAGTAGGTGTTAGGCAAATCTCTATTTTATTTAGAGATATTTTAAGTCTCTATGAATACATATTGTAAACCTCTATAAACACAGATAATATAGTCTCATAAAATGTAAAGTTTCTATTATTAATTCAAAAGACATTTTTTAGTTCTTTTTGAGTGTCTTTGGTTAAAGTGTTATGGGAGATAAATATAGAAGATAAATATATAAATGGAATACCATGTAGCCATTAAAAAGGTGATGCAGAGTCATTAAAAAATACTTGTTGAACACCTATTAGATACAAGACACTGAGATAGTTGCAGTGGACATACAAAGATAAACAGGATATGCAATTTAGAGTCTGGTAGGGTAGATCACAAATGTTCATGAATAATAGTAGAAGGTGAGGTACTCATAAAGTCTTCTTTGTTCCTGGGAAGAACCCTTCACTCTGGTTGAGGCTAAGAGGAAGATTTCATGGAGAAGGGCCACTTGCACTGTCTCTTGATAGAAAAGCAAGATTTAGAAATGTACAGATGGAGAAATAGGTATTCCAGGTAGGTGGAAAAACATGTTAGAGCCCAGGTAGGAAAAACACAGGATGAGAACCCCAAATGCTCTAACAAGAATCTAGGTTATATGATAGGGAGCAGTATGAAATAGTGAGCAAAACAGGTCAGTACCAGATTATGGAGAGTCTTAACTGTCTATTAAATATGAACTTTAATTTATATACAGTGGGAGATTATTAAGAGTTTTTGAGCAGGGCTGGGATAAGAAATTTCTCTGCCAGTAACATCAAATGGATTGGAGGAAGGAATGACTGGTGACAAGGATATGAATTAAGAGGGTATTTATTTCAGTGATCCAGTGGTAAAATATGCAGGTTGAAGTTGACAATAAACTTGGTCTCAATTTCTGTTCCTCCAGAATTTTGGTTAAAATCACTGAACCTTCATAAAAACGTCTCCAAATAGATCACTTTTCTATGTGGAAAGACCTGATTTGCATTTAAGAAGCAGTTAGAAAAAAGGTGAAAGGGATTAAGAAGTACAAATTACCAGTTATAAAAATAGTCACTTGGATGTAAAGTACAGCCTAGGAAATCTAGTCAATAATATAGTAATAACTCTGTATGGTATCCGATGGGTACTAGACTTATCAGGGTGATCACTTCATAAAGTATATAAATGTGTAATCACTATGTTGTATACCTGAAACTAATATAATAGTGTATGTTAACTGTAATTGAAAAATTAATTAAAAAAACACACAAAGCCACACAGTAAGAAATAAGATGAAGGCATCATAAAGGCCAAACATTTGCTTTGCAAAAAAACCAATTAGATTGCCTGACCTGCAGGGAAGGCTTTGACACCATGATCCATTCATGAGGCCATGAGAAGGAGAACCAGTCAGATCAGATGGACTTTCTTATTGTCCTCTGAACAACTGCCAATCATACATAACCTTCATGTGCAGTTACTTGGCAGCACAATAACTAGACAGTGATCAAATTTATGTCAGGGTAACTTGATGCTAAAGTCAATTTTATTAAAACCTTTAATGTATACACAGTATAATGTGTGTATGTATGTATGATGGAAGATTGCTTATTGCTTAGACCATGTTTTAAAAAAGAAGCAGACACACTGGTGTATAGTGTAGGCATCATCACTGAGCTATGTTTAAATCAGGTGGTTTTAAGTTGTCGTAAAGGACTGATTCAGAGTTCTTCAAGTAGAGCTCTTCCATTCCCATCATCATGGGCCCTCTCAGCAAAATTGATATTGATGTGAAATTTCCTAAGAGCAAGGTTACATTGCATAATTTTAATATTTAATGGAAAATTGTTTGGCTTTGGTTAAATGCCCAAATGCATTATAACTAAAATCTCAGTGCTCTAACTCACAAATATTAAAAAAATTAAAGTAGGTGGTATTTGACAGATTTAATTCAATTTTACTTATATTGCTTTTTAATAAGATTTTTTTTCCTCTTGCAGTTTCCGATCATGTGATCCTAATATGTTCTCACTATATAATTCAGGAACAGTATTACCAACAGGAAAGTTGACTCTAGAAAACTATAAAGTGATGCTTGATTTTCTTCATACAGCTAAAAAAAGAAAGGCCAATTTACCTTCAGGTAAAGTAAATAAATATGCTATCAAATTGCTTCCAGATTTGCATTCACTAATGCAATACACACACACACCTGGCGGACACACAGAAGTACATATACCATTTTCCAGTGATTCAGGAATTTAGTTGCGTTGTGATATTTTGTAGGAGACTCTTATTTACTCTATTTCTTAAAATTTCTGTTTTTATGGTAATATCATATATATTTGGAAATATCTATATTGTTGTACTATCCAAAAACAATTTGGTTGTTTAGCAAATGTAATGTTCTTTTAGAAGTATTGGTAGCCCCCAGTTGGTCAAGATAGGTGAAGACTTACTATCAAGGGTTATATTTTAGGGGAAGTAAGTTTCAGAAGGAATTCCACCAAACACTCTGGTGCAAGCAGGCATGAAAACAGTCACATAGCTGTATTATAGTCCCGATTTTATACTCAGAGCAGTCTGCTCTTCCTTTGATCTACATCTAGCACCTTCAATGAAAACGTACTCCAAGATGAATGCAATAATATTCTGATGGCAGGAGCAACCAATATTGTCATCAGGTCAGGTGATGGGGATCTCTGCGAGGTGGAGAGATGCAGGTGAACAGGGCTGTCGATCTGCACTGATGACTCTCTTCCCTAGCAGTCACTTGCCTTGCATACACTCACTTCACAAATGAAAAATTATTTCTAAGACCTTTATGCTATTACAAACCCTCTTATGTAGATTTTAAATAATGGTATTTTAAGTAATATGTAACAATGCTGAATGGGATACTTCGTATACTGGTTAACTGCCCCAGGAATGTTGATTCATATTTGAGGTACCTGACATGCTTTCTAGTTTCTTTGAGGGTGTAGATTAAGTTTAACTGGTACCCACATGTCATACTATGAATATTGACGTTTTTGAAAGTAAATTTCCTAGACATAGTAAGAGTCTGAGTTTTGTATGTATATTGTAATACAGTGGAACTTCAGTTCTTGAACTTAATTTATTCCAGAAGGCTGTTCAAAAACAAAATTATTTTTTCCAATTAGAAATAATGTGAATTGAATTAATCCATTCCAGAACCCCAAATAGTTCCCTGTTTTAACTTTTCTTATATATAGTACATATCTGATATAATGTTTAATCTATAAATAAACACTTTTAAAAAAAAAGACATGAAATGTAAATGGAAATTTAACAGAAAGGAAATGAAATTTGCAGTAAAAAATGAAAATTTAATAATAATAAGCAGCAACAAAAAGCAAAACAACATGAAAATATTCACAGCACAGTTCCTGAGATGTTAACAGCATGAGGTTTAGCAGTCAACGGACTCGTACTCACATTCCCTCCTTTGTCGCCTGAGAGGCTCATGGCTGATCATACAGGTATCAGCATGAAAGGGCTGTGGGGTTGAGAAGCGAATTGTTCGAGATGGGTGACATTTGAGTTCCGAGGTTTGGCTGTATATAACTTCTTGAGATTTTGTTTGTTTGTTTGTTTTAGAAGACTAGCTCTCTATCTGTGACCTTCCATAAAGTCAGCAATAGAACATTCTGCTATTGAGATTTATTATGTAATGCAGAGTTCTAAGAGAAGGTTTGTGGCAGGAGAAATCCTCTGTGTTTTTGTACCACACCAACAGGATAATGAGTTGCCCGGTTGCTGCACTGTCTAATTCTGGGGACTGCTACTCACCTGCTAGTGTATGTGTCCTGGGAATGGCTTGTTTGGGGGTAAATTAAGGAACAGTGTGATCCTCTCATTGTTGCCTCAAAAAACAAAAACATTCCTTGTCCATCAGCCTTGCCTGGAATGTTCTCCATAGTCTTCCCTCATATCTGAATCATGCCTGCCGTTTAAGACCCAGTCTAAGTGCTTCCTTCTCTAGAAACTTTTTCTGATTCATTATGCCCATGAATGATAATCCTGTCCTTTCTCCAGAATTATATAACAGTTGTTTTCTGATCTACTCATTTGATGCTTATCACCTACTGTGTTTTCTGGAACTTAATTCTCTGTTTTCAATAATGTTATATTTTATTTTTGTATTGTAGATGCTGAAGAGTTTTTGATATTTACTGATTCCAAAATGATTGATGAAAATGTTTCTAAGACACAAACAGTTTATGACTCAGAATTTCAGCCAGTTCTTAGTGCTAGAGAAAAGGATCGAGCACAAAATTTGGGTCTATTGGATCATTTTATGAAAATCTTTTTATATTGCAGGAGAGCAATGGTAAGGTGGTCCTTCATGTTTGCTAGTGTGGTAGACACAAATCTCAGCCCACAAATTCGGGCGTGTATGATATATTATATTTATTTGCTTACTATCTATAATTTTAGTTTCAATTTTAGGACTAAATTTGCTGGGTTTTCTGCCAGTCAATTTTGAGGTTTGCCAGCCATGGTAATGAGGTCTTATGTACTGTCAAGTTGTCAGGGAGAGGGGTGAGCTCCCTTAGTCACCAGTCATCCATCCACCTAGAGAAGAGGAGGCTTCTGTCCCTGCATACGCAGTCTTGGTGGATATTCAATCACTCCTCTGTTGCTTTTTTGCCACACTTGGGACATGCAGCTCTCTGGTGACACCAGGGGTTTCTCTCTGGAATCTGAACCCTCCTGGGGTACATCATAGGCCCCTTTCTTTCCTCTAGCACAGGAGATCTTTATAGACTACAAGTAAGATCTGCCTCTGCCCCGACCTTCTGATTTTACAGGCCACTTGTGTTTTCTCTCGATTATTTTTCTCTTTTTCTTCTTAAATATTATGTGATTGATTATTTGTTTTGAACATTTATTACCCTCGTTCTTTAATAATTTAATTGTAAAGTTACATAATTTAATGTTTAATAATGGCTGTGTTTAACAACTGGCTTGCAACAAAATTCCTGAAAATTGAGTAACTGGCTCTCTCAAGCTAGTGTTAGCCAGTCCAGCACACCGCTGCCCCTGAACCTCTAGGAGGCCTCAGGATCATAGTGTCCACTTTATGACATTGACTAAAGGGGGAGAGTCTTGGAGGTGCTGCTGGTTTATTACTAAATTTTCTTTTGGCATGTTTATGAGGAAGCAGGAAAGGAATCTTTAGGCAAACTGCCACCAAGGAACTGCTGCCCTGGTCTCCTTTCTTTCTTTCTATCTGCACATTCCATGAAGGCTGTTAGCCTGAGGGGTTTACTCAAAGGATAAATGACAAAAGCAGGAAGGCTTGGATGCTGGATCAGGGCCACAGCCTGAGAGGGACAGGGAAGAGCTCAGATGGAGAGCCTCTACCTCTCTATTCTCATCTGTCGGCTCAAGGAAAGCAGACTTGGCAGAGTGGCACAGATGCCTTTTATTGGTCTGACCACCATGACTAGTAGGGGGCATGGGCAGAGCTCCCCTATCTGTCTTGGTTCCCATCACCCCAGGAGAGAGGAGTGTCTTAGGCAGGGGTGGCAGGCAGAGCCAGGATCAATAATAACGGGTGGGATTTGAAGGGCTCAGGGTGGTGTAGAAAACACAGGGTTACCAGACCATTCAGATAAAACATCATCAGGGTAAAGCAGAGACCATTTCCCTGCACCGGCCCCTTGTCCTTGCCAGGAATGGGAGGGGAAAGGTTCCTTAGAGGCTTCCTAATGTGCCCTTCATACCATCAGCATCTCCTGGATGTTGTCCTCAGCTTCCTTCACGCTGCGCTCCAGGTAGGATTTTTTTCCGTTCCAGTTCTTTAATTTTTTCTTCTGCTATTTTCTGTTTCTCTAACAACTGACTGTGAATTACCTCCTTGGACTGATGGATAAACATTCTTCCTACACCTTCATACATGTTAGTTTTGTCTACCAAAGTGGTAATCTCTGCATCTGTAAAATGGGCATTCTTTTTCGTTCTTTTTAGCTGTTAGTCTGTATGTCTGCAAGCTTCACCTTCTGTTGAGTGTCAATAACTTTAGCTTGAAGCTCTGTGAAGGCCTTCTTCAACTCGACATCCACGGGTGCCGCCATCTTGGCTCCTTATATGATTGATTATTAAACTCAGATGGAAATCATTAGTTCTAAAGAAATTAGTTTTCTTTTTCTCTTAGTAAGAAGGGGGATACTTCAATATTCTTAAGAGGTGAGAGGAAATCTACCCTTTCTAGACAAGAAAGAAACACTTAAGTTCCCATATTCTCTGTGGATTGGAGAAAGTGGCTTTTTAAAAATGTAAGTAACCACGTCATCTCCTTGACCATGACATTGCATTCTACTTTCCTTTCCACCAGCTTCAGGACCCCTGAAGGTCTGGGTCCTCCTCACCTTGAAGAAGTCAGCTCCTCTTGCTTTTGTTCAGTCCACTCTCTCCTTTGTGGTCTTGAAAGCTCTATTCTTGTTTGCTTCTCGCCTTCAGGTTCATCCTGCATCCTTTGCACTTGCTGTTCCCTGAGCCTCTAATGCTGTCCCCACCCAACACCCTCATCACTACCTTCACATGACTTGTTCAACTGAACATTCAATAAGTCACCTCCTCAGAGAGGACTTCTCTCCTGACCACTCTGTCTAAAAGGATGTGTTCTCTCACCCATGTCAGGTGCTGCTCCATTTCCACTTTAATTTTGTTTGCAACACTTATTATTAATGAAATAGCATTTTTATTTGCCTACTTATCTAGTGTTGGTCTCCCCTAATAAATCGAGGCAGCATGAGAGCAGACCTGGTGTTTCTTGCTCATTGCCATATTCCCAACACCTAGAAGAGTGGGAGTGTTGGAGTCAGACCACTGATGTGCAGAACTTAGCTCACCACTTAGTAGATTATGATCTGGGACAAGTTAGCTTCATGACTCCATTTCCTTATCTGTAAATCGAGTAGAATACTAGTGCATACTCATTTCATAGGAGCTGTTGTAAGAAGGAACTACAAGGATGCATATAAAGGTCTTACCACAATGTCTAGCACATATAAGTGGCACATAACCAATGGTGTTATTTTTATTACTCACATACAATATTTGCAAACAGATGAAGTAATTCAAAGATGTGTAACTTTTGGAAAATTGGGGCATTTTGGATGTTTTGTTTGTCTTAGGTTCTTGCTCATCGTGGCGGCTTTTGGACTCTGCTTCAGAACTGCTGTCGGATGCTTTGGAACTTTACTCGGGAGCTACAGATACTTCTTAAACAAGCAGTGGATATGTATAAAATATTTCCTATTAGTCAAGATGGCTTCCTTTGTATCTCTGTTTTACCATTCTATTTGGGGGCAGAACTACTTATTGACATGTTAATAGAACTGCAAAATACCAATTCTATCGAGGTAAGTGTTTTTATTGTATTTATTGAGGTAATTAATTTTATTGTATTCAATTAACAAATACTTTTGTACCATACAGCTTGGGATAAGTAGAAGTTAGTATTTTTCTTGAGTTCTTAGTTGGTTTGTCTATATTTTATTTGCTTCTTATTATTTGGTTCACTATATATATAACTTGCATTGATGTTAATTACTAATATCTTAGTCTGAAAATTCAATTTCTTGTTTGTTTGTTTTTTAATCCTCACCCGAGGACATTTTTCTATTTTTTATACAGATAGAGCGGGAGAGAGAGGGAGAAACATCGATGTGAAAGGGACACATCGAGTGGCTGCCACCCGCACGACCCAACGAGGGCCAGGGACAAACTGCAACCGAAGTACATGCCCTTAGCGGGAACCGAACCCGGGTCTCTCTGCACTGCAGGCCGACGGTCTAACCGCTGAGCCAAACTGGCCAGGGCTGAAAATTCAATTTCTTAAAGGGAAGAGAAAGTAACATTTACTAACCCCCAGCTTCTAGGTAAACTAACCTTGATGTATTTAATCCTCATAGGAATCTTTTGATAAAGGAACAGACCCAAAGAGAGATCATAAAGCTTGTTTTTTTGTTCTTTATTTCTCTGCTTTATCTGTCTCTGTTCTGTTACTTCAGATCTGGTAGAATTTACCATTTAAAATCTTACACACTGTGATTTAAAGCAAGAAAATAAAATTGAAAAAATTTAAACATGATATATCCTAAAATCAGTTAACACATAAACACATTGAAAATTGGTTAACATATAAACACACTGAGTCATGGGGTAATATCCAGATGTAAAATACATAGCAACAATAGCACAAAAGACTGGGAGGGTAAATAAAATTAAATGGTCATAAGTTTTACACTTTATATAGCTATAATGTGGTACAATAGTAACTCTAAGTGGAATGTAATAAGTTAAGGATATGTTTAATAATCTCTAGAGTGATTACAAAAAAGAAATATAGCTAAAAAGCCAATGTAGTAAAATGGAAAACTAAATAATAGTTAACAAAAGAAGACAGTAAAAAAGGAACAGGAAAAAAAACCAAATGGAACAAATAAAAAACAAATAAAAATAATAAATCCAACCAAATTATATCAATAACTATGTTATATACAAATGTATTGAACATCCCAATTAAAAAGCAGAGATTGACTGGACTACAAAGAAAGATGCCTACACTTGCTGTCCTCAGGAGAAGCACTCTGAATATAATGAAGCAGATAGATTGAAAATAAAACAGTGGAAAGAACTTTATCATAAAAATAGCAAGCATAAAAAAGCTGGTGAGGCTATATTATTACTAGATAAAATAGTCTTCAAATCAAGAAGCATTTTTAAGAGATAAAAAGGAACATTTCACGAGAAGAAGCTCCATTAACCAGGAAAACATACTATTCATAAATGTGCATGCACCTAATAACAGAGATTCAGCATATGCTCTGGACACCCAAAACTTGATCACAACACTTACATGGTTATTCTTTAACTTAGGCAAAAAGAGGGTCTTCTAGAAGATGTCCCTCTCCATAGATTTGAGCTTTGCACCAGGGAATTGGACATATCATTCTACAAACTAATGAATGTAACCAGTGTATTAGGGAAACTTAATTATTTGTATATAATAAAACCAGGGATCCTCAGAATTTTGTCTTATTAGTTTAATATTCTAATTTAAATAATGACTACGTTCAAGAAGTATAGACCTCAGTCTGTGCTAATATATAATGACTAGCCATATTGTGGCTATTTAAATTTAAGTTTAAATAAATTAAAATGAAATAAAATTGAAATTCTTGTTACACTAGTCATACTTCAATAGCTTAGCATCCACATGTACCCAGTGGCTCCTGTATGGAACAGCACAGATATAGCACATTTCCATTGTCACAGAAATTGCATTGGACAGCATCAAGCTTTCATTTACATAACAAAAAATAATTTAAATTTTTTCTGTTCAGTCTTTTCTATATTATATTTTTACATATTATATTCAATCCCCCCCCCAAAAAAAACTTAGTAAAATCTGAAATCACATTTTTTTTTAATGTGCTACTTGCAGATTATTGAAGAAAAGGGAGAGTTCAGTGTTCCAAGTTGCTATGGAAATATTAAAAATGATAACGGTGGTTCTAGCCTTACTTTTGAGCATCCTTTGGATAATGTAAATGTGGTGGATTTGAAATGGATCCATGACTTTGTATTAAAATCTCTGGAACTTTTGTATCAAGTAGAAAAATGGGAAACACTAGTATCACTTGCTATTCAGTTCAATATAATTTCACAGTAAGTATTGCTGTAAGGGCAATTAAAAGTAACAGGCTTCTCTGGGAAAAAAGTGTTTTAACTAATGTTTTCTTTTTAACGTATTTCTACCCTGTCTAGTGAGAGATATACAGAGCAAGTAACACCACTTCTGGTGTATGCACAGCGCCAGCTTCTTCTAAGAATAGCCCAGTTCGAGGGCCCAGATATCACCCAGCAGCCTTGTGTAAGATATGAGGCTGAGTATAAAGAGAAGGTAAGTTTGACTCCATTATTTCTGCAGTTGAGATTTCTTGTTAGTATACATGCAACAAAGATTTAAGAATCAGATAAATGTTATCTTCACGTAGACATTTATCATTCAAATCAACAAACATTATTGAGAGCCAGCTCTGTGCCAGTATTTTCTATAAACAGGGTAAACTAAAGTAGGTTTTGTACACAAGAAACTTATCAGGGCTGATTTGTCCATTAGCAACAGTGAGGACAGTGTCTAGAACCATAATACTTTTAGGGGCCCAGTAAATACTTTAATTCTTTATTTTTTTAATATGTTTTTATTAATTTTTTAGAGAGAGAGGAAGGGGGAGAGAGATTAGACACATCGATGTGAGAGAGAAACATTGATCGGCTGCCTCCTGCACATCCCTAATGGGGATTGAGCCAGCAACCCAGGCATATGCTTGACTGGTAATCAAACCGGGACCCCTCAGTCCATGGGACAACGCTCAATCCACTGAGCCACACTGGCCAGACAATTCTGTATTTTTTAAATAAGCAGAAAACAACTTTTAGGTCAAAAAAATACTTTTTTAATTAATATATTTATATTTATATCAATACAAACATAAAATATAATTTTTAATATTTATTTTATGGAGGAGGAGTGGGCTTACAAAGACAAAAGTGCCTAAGGCCCATGGAAGTCATGGTTCAGCTTTGAGTTAGGTGGAGGAAAGAAATAAGTAAATTTGCTCATTTGTTAATTTAATAAATATGTATTGATTACCTAATATCAGAGCCATTGCATTCAGTTATACAATCTGTATCCTGCGCAAGGGCCCCTGGAATACGTGGGGGCTGACATCCAGGGCCTGCCCCATACACCTGCCTGCTTGCCTGTGTGTCACGGCCACCCCGCAAGGGCTCCATGTTCTTCTTCACAAAGGTTCCCTGTAGCTTTTGCGAGTGTCTCCTGCATATTCTGTGTAGAGGGAACACAGTCTGAGTTCTTGCTTTATAGAGTTTAATTTCAGATGGGTGGAGGTAGGGTCAGATAATAAACTTGTAAACAGATATAAAGATTTATGATCACTGGAAGTTATCTGAAGAAAACAAAATAGGTAAATGGAATAGAGGTAGACTGGGGTGGGAGGTGGAAAGTTGAGCAAGTGTGATCAGGAAGGCCTCTTGGAGATGGTAACGTGATAAGAAGGCACCAGCCCTACAGTGAAAAAGAGCATTCTAGCCCAAGGGAGGATGGACAGAGGCCCTGAGATGGGACTGAAAGAAAGCCCCATGATGCAGCGAGCAGACGTGGGAGAAGGTAAAAACAGGGGCCTGCTCCTCTGTCTTCTTTGTTACTTATTCCCCTCTTTATGTTAAGTGTGTCTCAAGACTGTTCTTAGTCCTATGTTCTCTGACTTGGTGAGTTAATTCAGTCTTGGGTCTGAGTACCATCTTTATGATGATGACTATCAAAATTACTCTCCATTCTAGACCTTTCTCCTGAATTTTGTGTTGACATATCTAATTGCCTGTATCAGAGTTCAAGCATAACTTGTAAAATCTGTATCTGTCTATCATCTATCTATCTATCTATCTATCTATCTATCTATCTATCTATCTATCTATCTATCTATATCAATCATCTATCTATCTAGATTTATTCTAGATTTATTATAAGGATTTGGCTTATATGATCATGGGGGCTGACTAAGCAAGTCCAAAACATGTATTTACATCTCATTGTAGAAGTACCCACAAGGGACAGTCAGGATCATGAGCAAGAAGGAACCCTACAGGTGTGACCAGAAGCTGTTATCCACAGGCAGTCACTAAAGGAGGATCTGTTGGGGAGAGAACAGTTTTAGACCTGGATGCTGGTTGGAATTTGGAGTCTGGAGACCACCCACACTGTTAAGGACTTACCTGATTAGGTCAGGCCCACCTAGGATAATCACCCTACCTTGAAGTCAATTTATTAGGGACTTTATTAATATCTGCAAAATCCCTTCACAGTAGCACTTAAATTACAGTTTGATCAAATAACTCGGTTGAGGTGTATATGTGCTACAAAATGGATGCTTCTCTTCATTCATCCTCATAGTTTAGCCTAAACAAAGTTGATCCATCAAAATACCATCAGACTGCCTAATCAACATAGTCTCTTAGATATTTAATATACTTCTCAAATTTAGCACATCTCAAACAAAACTATTCTGCCAAGTCCTCCAAATTTTAATTGACGACATCCCCATTCTCCTAGCTGCTTAGGCCAGACACCTTGGGGATATACCCCTGATTCCTTTCTTTCACACCTTACTTCAATTGGTTGCCACGTCCTCTACCTTCAAATTGTATTCAGAACCTGACCACTTCTCACTACCTCCACCACCCCTGCTCTGATCCAAGCCACTGTTCTATTTACTTTGATTAATGCAAGGACTTCCTAATTAGTCTTCTTGCTTCCAACTACCCTAAAACTCTGCCTCCAGCCTATAGTCTATTCTCAATGCAGCAGATAGAACAACCTTTAAAAACCTAAGCCAGACCATGTCATTCCCTCATTTGAAACCCAATAGTAGCTTTCCATCTGGTTCAGAGGTAAAGTGAACATCCTAGTATGGCCTTAATGCCCTACATAACTCATCCCCCTGTGATCCCCAATAACTCCTCTCCTGTTTCTCCTTCTCAGGTTTTAGCTGCTTTGCTCTTGAAGACTTTCCTGCCTCAGGGTCTTTGCACTTGCTGTTCCCCTGATTGGAATGCTCCTCCCCCCAATATCCACATTGATTTTTCCCTTGCCTTTTCCCAGTTTTTGTTAGATGTCATATTCTCTGTGAGGACTGTCTTCAGTATGGTAGCCAAAATTTAGTGCTTGTTTGCTTTATTTCTCTCTATAATGTTTGTAACTCTTTAACATTCTCTATAAAGTAATTCTCTATTTTGTTTATTGTCTCTCTGCTTCCACTAGAATAAGTTCAAGAGAATAGGAATTTTTGTTTGCTTTGTTCTCTGCTATATAGTCCTTGAACTTGAAGATGTACCTGGCACATAATAGGTGTTCAATAAATATTTTTTAAATGAAACTGGAGAGGTGGAAAGGCCTAGGTCAAGTAGGGCCTGATTAGGCTGTGGGAAGGAGCTTGCATTTATTAGACTGTATTTACATCTCATTGTGGAAGTACCTGCAAGGGACAGTCTGGCAGAAGCATCTATATTAGTCTGTGGTTCAAGGTGGGGATGGGGGGCTGTATTTGGAGTAATAGGTTAGTTCAAGGAGGGGGAATAGAAGAAGAAAGGAGAGGATCTTGAACCTTTTAAAAGAGTCTCCTTCTGTTAAAAATGTTTCCCTTTTAGATGTTTTATAATTTTCCCTTTTAGATATTTTATAATTTTAGCACTCAAGTATATGTTAGAAAATAAAAATTTAAATTACTACAGGGGAAGTTAGTTCTGAAAAGCTTCACCAGGGAAGTTTAAATTGCATTAATTATGAGTAGGGTGGAAAAAATCTGCCATTGGAAAAGCAGCCTATATTTTCAATATGTTTCAACTTACATAATGGAAGATATAGTTAGACTTTTAAATTTATGGAATATCAGAAAATTACATTGTAATTGCTCTACATAATTTGCCTAATGCTATTCCAGCTGTGCTGTACAAAAGAAATATGAAAAATTATGTAGCTGCTTTTTTTCCTGAAAGTCTCTGCTAGCTTTTATTTATAGCATCCTTTTGTTTCTCTTTTTTATTTTTGACAAATGAAAAATAAGATAAACATTTTAAGTGAGCCAAAATTTTGTCTATAAATACCTAAGTTATAATTTTCATCTTTCCTTTTTAAGATAACCTGCCGAAATTTTATTGGGAAGCAACTCAAGATTAATCCTCCAACCAATAAAGAGACAATTACAGGAGACTGCACAGATTTCTTAAGAAAGCTCGTCCTTTCAGGTCAGACCAGCTTTAGCTTGGAACTCTCTTATTTTTATTTTTTTGTTAATCATTACTTGAAGATATTTTTCCATTGATTTTTAGAGAGTGGAAGGGAGGGGAGGAGGGAGAGAGAGAGAAACATCAATGTGAGAGAGGCACATTGATTGGTTGCCTCCTGCACAACCCCTTCCGGGACCGGGGATTAAACCTGCAACCAAGGTACATGCCCTTGACCCGAAATCAAACCCATGACCCTTGAACCTCAGCCAAACAAGCCCAGGCTAGCTTGAAGCTCTTTTAAAGCAAGGTTTGCTGTTGTGTTCTGCTCATCAAATCTTCTGTAGTTAAAGTGTTTGCAAAATTTCTTTTGCATGTTTATTTGACTGAAAATAATCCATTTGATATTTACCATGTTGTGTTGCTATAAATGTCACTTAAGGGGAATTATAACCCATGTTTATTAGTTGAATGTTTAAATTAAAGAAGGGAAATAACTTTTTTAAAAAGGGGAAAGAAATGAATGAGAAAACAAAAAAGATGGGAAAGACTGTTCTGTACTATTTTCCCTGTTTTTATTTCACTTGGAAATACTTCAAATTGACCTTTTCCTATTTTCTGTTTCACTCCCATAATAACTTCCATTTCCATAATCAATATAGAGTATTCTTCTGTTGGCTTTTCCATGGTGAAGCTCTTAACTAGAGCTCACGAGAAGACTTGGGGATGTCACGACTCCTTTGCTTTTAGCTGATAAGCCATCTCAGAATATTTTGGCAGTGCAGCATATAGGAACGAAGCAATAGAATAAGATGGACATGGAAATAAGGCCTTTTCTCGTTGTACTATTCATGCATCTGTTTCTGGTATAGGAAAGAATTCAGGTCTTCTCTTTGATGTATTTGGATTCATTCGTTTGTTTATCTGTGGGTTTTATGTGTGTATGTGCATATGTATGTAGAATAGTTCTTCTTTATCCTTGGGGGTGTGTTCCAAGACCTCCAGTGGATGCCTGAAACTGCGAATAGTACTGAACCCTGTTTATATATTATGTTTTTTTATGCATACATGCCTATGATAAAGTTTAATTTATAAATTAGCACAGTAAGAGATTAACAACAATAACTAATTACAAAATAGAACAATGATAACAATATACTGTAATAAAAGTTATGTGAATATGGCCTCTTTGTCTCTCTGATAACCAATCTGGTAACTGAGACAGCTACTAAGTGACTAATGCGCAGGTGGTGTATAGAGCATGGAGACATTGGACAAGGGATGAGTAATGTCTCGGGCAAGAAGGATTGGGGTAGTGTGAGATTTCATCACCGTTCTGTGGTACACAATTTAAAACTTAATTGTTTATTCTGGAATTTTCCATTTAATATTTTCAGATCATGGTTGACTGTGGGTAAGTGAAACCATGAAAAGTGAAACCATGGGTAAGAGGGATCTACTGTGATCATTCATTTATTCATTCATGGAGTCAGTCAGCCAGCTGTATCGTCATTCAGCAAACATTCCCTGGGTGTCTGCCATGTGTTGAGTACTGTACTAGATACTGATATACAAAGATGAATGAGGCTCAAGATTTGTTATCCAGGAGTTTACAGTCCATTGAAGGAGAAAAATAAATAAATCAGGTATTGTACAGCAAGTCCTCACTAACGTTGTTGATAGGTTCTTGGAAACTGACTTTTGGTGAAACAGTGTATAATGCAACCCGTTTTTCCAGAGGCTAATTGATATAAACAAGAATTCTTGTGACATAGCTCTGGTCACAGATACATCACCAAACTTCCAAATAAAGACCCAAAACACTTCTAATAGTAGTCATTGAAATGAATGTGAGCTGTACATACAAGAAAGAAAGATAAATAAAAACAAGTAAAATAATCATTTTCCAACCCACTTTTTCCAGCTCAGGGTCTTAGGTAGCTGAAGCCTCTCCTGACGGCTCAGGGCACAAAGCGGGCACTCACCCTGGACAGGAGGTCCTTCCATCAAAGGGCACGCTCATACACACACACACACTCAGACCAGGATGATGTAGACATGCCAGCCGATCTAAGCTGCACATCTTTGGGATGTGGGAGGAAAAAAAGTATCAGAGAAAACCCACGCAGACATGGGGAGCATGCAGACTCCACACACTGGCCCCTGCCAGAGCTGACTTTCCTTTCTTATCTATGTTACAATGAAATGACATTGAAAGAAATGTCATTATGTGAGAACCTGCTGTAGATTGGAGTGATAAGATCTGCAGTATTATAACTGCTGCTGCTATAAACAATACTAGTTAACAGCTAGTATTGCTTTTAGTAGACTGCATTTAATTTAGTGGGGTTAATGTGACAGGAAAAGGCAAAAGCTGAGGTTAGGAAGGTTGGCAGGAGTTAGACAACAAAGGGTCTTAGAAGGCAGGATAAAGGGATTTTGATTTATCAGGAGGGCTGTGGGGAGCTAGGTAAAAGGATTTAAGGAAGGAAAGTGAAATGCTCACATTTGTGTTCTTGAAAGTCCCTTTGGCAGCAGCATGGGGCATCGAGTGAAAGGAGACCACGTGGAGACCACAGGGCTACTCCTGACTTGTGTGTCGGAGATGCGGTGAGGCCGGGGCTCAGGCAGTGAGATCACAGGCATGGACAGGTGTGAGAGACAGGCTGGAGCAGTGCCCAGCACTGTGTTCTTACTGCTTAGATGGTGGGAATGGGTGAGGAAGGGGGCAGTTCCGGTTGCCTTGGTTTCTGGCTTGGGTGGCTAGGTGGATGTGATGTCTTCACGCTGTAGGACAACTGGAGGGAGAGGCAGGCCAGAGGAGGTTGGTTGCGTTAGCTCGTGAGCTGTGGACTCTCCATGTTGACACAGACTGCCATGATTGTTCCCAAGGCGGCAAACAGAACACGGATGCTACCCTTTAGGGGAGTTATACTGAGAGGCAGGGAGCAAATGGTCAAGAGCGCGGACTTTGAAGCCAGACTACAAGTACATACACTTTATGCTAAGGGCTTTACATAGGTTGTTTTATTTAATTATTATAACAACCCCAATAAAGGAATTATTGTTACGCATTGGCTATTGGGTACTCTTAAAAGTGCTTTGTGAGTACAGGCATACCTCGGAGATACTGTGGGTTTGGATTCCAGATCACTGCAATAGGTGAATATCACAATGAAACAAGCCACATGAGTTGTTTTTAGTTTCCCAGAGCATATAAAACTTATGTTTACACTCTACTGTAGTGTATTAAGTGTACGATAGCATTATGCCTAAAAAAATTTTGTACCTTAATTTTAAAATACTTTATTGCTAAAAAATGCTAACCATGATCTGAGCCTTCCGAACGAAAATGGTGCTGCTAGACTTGTTTGATGCATGATTGCCACAAACTTTCCATTTGTAAAAAGTACAATATCTGTGAAATGCAATAAAGCAATTCATAATAAAATGAGGTATGCCTGTATTAGCTTACAACCACCTAATGTGGATAGTGTTATTGTCTCCATTTCACAGCAGGAAAAAAAATGTATTTTGTAGTCTTTTTATATTTTATACTTTAATATTCATGAGTTTTATATAAATCATGTGGTGGCTCTTAATGCTGGTACTTGAAAGTGACACGTCACTCCTGCTGATATTTCATTGACGAAAGTCACATGGCCACATCTATGTTCAAAAGGGGTTGGGGAAGGTGATCCCACTCTGAACCCTGAGGATGAAGAGACGGAGACTGTGTGAAGAGCACTAATGTCTGTCACAGGAGCAAATGGAGGAAGACAGTGTCTGAAGGGGATTGGTTTGTGGTCTAAGAGCTGGGAGGTTCAACAGATGAGAGTGGTATAAACAAGGCCAGGAAATGAGAGAGTGAGCACGATGAAGCAGCCACCAGTCAGAGAGGTCACATAACACGAGGACAGACTGCCCGTTGAATTTGGGAGGTCATTGCCACTGGTCTCTGTGCTATGACACCCTCATCTCAGGGCCTTGCTCTGGCAGATTCCCCTTCCTGAAATGCTCTTCCCCCACCCCGATGTCTGTCTGATAAACCCCTCCCCTGCTCGAAGTCTTTGTGCACATCTCATCTTTTCAGTGAGGCTTACTCTGACCCTTGTGGTCAAAACGGCCCCGGCCTGCTTCCTCCCATTTCCTGCACTCTGCTGAACATTTTTCTGAAGCACTTATTAACAACCTATCACATATGGTACAATTCAGTTTTTTATTGTATTAATTGATTGCTAGTCTGTCCCCCTGATACAAGGTAAGTTCTGTTTGGGCAAGGATCATTGTTTGTTCATTAATATAATCCAGATCCTTCATCAGTATCTGATACATAGGAGGGCTTACGAGGGTTTTGTTTTGTTTTTGTGTCTGTTTTTAATAGAAGACAAGGAGGATATTTCTATAGTACATGGAGAGAACCAGTAGGGAGGGAGAGCTTAGAGACAGGAAAGATATTTGGTAGGGCAAGGAGCTCGAGGAGAAACAGAGGCAGGGACGTAAGGGAAGTGTCTTGGACAGGAGGGTGGAACACCCAGGGCAGAAGGGGAGGAGAGAACAGGTTCAAATGAGGGAAAGTGTGTAGGTGGAAGGGCAGAAGTTGAAGGCATTCTCATTGGGTACTGAAGATTCTCTTTTTTAAATATGTTTTTATTGATCGATTGATTTTTTTTTAAGAGAGAGGAAGGGAGCGAGAGATAGAAACATCGAGGTGAAAGAGAACCATTGATCTGCTGCCTCCCGCATGCCCCCCACTGGGGATAGAGCCTGCAACCCAGGCATGTGCCCCAACCGGAAATCGAACTGGGACCGCTCAGTCCATGGGTCAATGCTCAATTCACTGAGCCACATGGGCCAGGGATGAAGATTTTCTTAATGATGCAGGCGGTTGAAAGCAGAGCCAGGTGGGTGGGGCAGGGGATTTCAGAATGTGAAAGAGGGGACCAGCCTCTGAGAGAAATAGGACAAGGGAAGAGGGAAGGGCCGGCGAGTGGTGCAGTGGGTGCAGGAGAGTGAGAGTG